TGGGCAGATTTATTTTCGAATGGTATTTTCGTAATTTTCTGGACGACGAAAGGCCATTTTCTTTGAATATTGAAGGCTACAGATCACGGATTCGGCTGAGGCTATTCTCCGATGATGATTGACTCTATTAAGAAACGATTTGGACTAATTATTTTGGGTCAATTATAGGCAGATTCCAAAGGGGTAATATCACAGATTTCAGGCAATTTATCCGAAATGCCATTTTCTTTCGATTCTTGAGCCTTAAAATCACAGAATCAGACCGAGCATATTCTCCTCCGATAATGATTTCTATTGATCCTATTCTCCATGGAGGATAAGTCCAATAAGAACCGATTTGGGCCAATTAATTTTCGGATGACATTTTCGTAAATTTTTGGGCAATGAAAGGTCATTTACTTTGGATATTGAAGACTACAGATCATGGATTCGGCCTGAGGCTATTCTCCAACGATGATTGAGTCCATTAAGCACAGATTTGGGCGGATTTATTCCGGGTCAATTTTTGGCAGATTACAAAGGGCTATTTATCCGAAATGCAATATTCTTTCGTTTCTGGAGGCTACACCTCACGGAATCAGGCCGAGGCTATTATCCATCGATAATGAAGTCTATTGATTCTATTCTACACGGACGATAACTCCATTAAGCACCGATTTGAGACAATTTATTTTCTGATGGCATTTTCTTAATTTTTTGGAGACGAAAGTCCATTTTCTTTGGATATTAAAGGCTACAGTTCACGGATTCTCCCTGAGGCTATTCTCCAACAATGATTGAGTCCATTAAGCACCGATTTGGGAGGATTTATTCCGGGTCAATTTTTTGACAGATTACAAAGGGATATCCGAAATGCCATTTTCTTTCGATTCTGGAGGCTACAGATCATGGAATCAGGCCGAAGCTATTATCCATCGATAATGAATTCTATTGATCCTATTCTACACGGATGAGAACTCCATTAAGAACCGATTTAGGCCAATTTATGTTCTGATGGCATTTTCATAATTTTTTGGGCGACGAAAGGCCCTTTTCTTTGGAAATTGAAAGCTACAGATCACAGATTCGGCCTGAGGCTATTCTCCAACTATGATTGAATCCATTAAGCACCGATTTGAGAGGATTCATTTCGTGACAATTTTTGGCAGATACCAAAGGGATACCATCACAAATTTCGGGCGATTTATCCGAAATGCCAATTTCTTTTAATTCTGGATGCTACAGATCACAGAATAAGGCCGAGGCTATTCTCCTCCGATAATGAAGTCTATTGATCCTATTCACTATGGATGATAAGTCCATTAGGCACCGATTTGGCCCAATTAATTTTCGGATGACATTTTCGTAATTTGTTGGGCAACGAAAGGCCATTTTCTTTGGATATTGAAGGCTACAGATCACGGATTTGGCCTGAGGCTATTCTCCAACGATGATTGAGTCCATTAATCACCGATTTGGGCGTATTTATTCCCGGTCAATTTTTGGCAGATTCCAAAGGGGTACCATCACAGATTTCGGGCGATTTATCCAAAATGCCATTTCTTACGATTATGGAGGTTACTAATGACTCGATATTTGCACATGTTTTCCTTTTTGTTTCTTGACTGTTTGAGCTTTAATTATCGCGTCTTTTACCTATTTTACGCTAGGTTGTATTCCTTTTCCACATTTCAGGTCCTAGCACATAAAGTGAAGCATAGGCGCAAGTTTCAAGTCAATCAGAGATCAATTGGCGATTAGGGAGACGAAACTCGGGCATGACCTAAAGAAGAATGGATTTCTTCCTCACTTTATGGATAAAGAATCATGCAAGCTTGTCATGAAAAGAAAGAGGACGAAACTACGAGCGTCTGGGATCAAACGGCGACTGATTCGGAGTCCGGACGAGGGAGAAACGAAGCATTGAATATAGGGGAACATGTTCGGCAGTAAAAACACGTGCTGGACAAAAGAAAAAGACGGCCGTGTCCATATTTAGGCACGACCGTGTTTTGGCCGACGAGGGTTGTCGTGTCCATATTTTCTTTGGATATTGAATGCTATAGATCACGGATTCGGCCTGATGCTATTCTCCGACGATGATTGAGTCCATTAAGATTTGATTTGCCCGGATTTATTTCGGGTCAATTTTTGGCAGATTCCAAAGGGGTATCATCACAGATTTCGGGCGATTTATCCGAAATGCCATTTCTTTCAATTCTGGGGGCTACAGATCACTGAATCATGCCGAAGCTATTCTCCACCGATAATGAAGTATATTGATCCTATTCTCAACAAATGATAAGTCCATTAAGCACCGATTTGTGCAAATTTATTTTCGGATGACAGTTTCGTAATTTTTTGGGCGACGAAAGGTCATTTTCTTTGGATATTGGAGGCTACAGATCACGGATTTGGCCTGAGTCTATTCTTCGACGATGGTTGAGTCCATTAAGCACCGATTTGGGCGGATTTATACCGAGTTAATTTTTGGCAGATTCCAAAGGGGTGCCATCAAATATTTCGGGCGATTAATCCGAAATGCCATTTTCTTTCGATTCCGGAGGCTACAGATCACGTAATCAGGCCGAGGGTATTCTCCACTGATAATGAAGTCTATCGATCCTATTCTCCACGGATGAAAAGTCCATTAAGCACCGATTTGGGCAAATTTATTTTCGGATGGCATTTTCGTAATTTCTTGAGCGACGAAAGACCATTTTCTTTGGATATTGAAGGCTACAGATCATGGATTCGGCCTGAGGCTATTCTCCAAAGATGATTGAGTCCATTAAGCACCGATTAGGGCGGATTTATTCCGGGTCAATTTTTGGCAGATTCCAAAGGGGTACCATCACAGGTTTCAGGCGATTTATCCGAAATGCCATTTTCTTTTGATTCTGGAGTCTACTGATCACAGAGTCAGGTTGAGGCTATTCTCCACCGATAACGATGTCTATTGATCCTATTCTCCATGGATGATATGTCCGTTAAGCATCGATTTGGGCAAATTTATTTTTGGATGGCATTTTCGTAATTTCTTGGGCGACAAAAGGCCATTTTCTTTGTATATTGAAGGCTACAGATCAAGGATTCGACATAAGGGTATTCTCCAACGATGATTGATTCCATTAAGCACCGATTTGGGCTGATTTATTCCGGGTCAATTTTTGGCAGATTCCAAAGGGGTACCATCACAGGTTTCAGGCGATTTATCCGAAATGCCATTTTCTTTCGATTCTGGAGTCTACTGATCACAAAGTCAGGTTGAGGCTATTCTCCACCGATAATGATGTCTATTGATCCTATTCTCCATGGATGATATGTCCGTTAAGCATCGATTTGGGCAAATTTATTTTCGGATGGCATTTTCGTAATTTCTTGGGCGACGAAAAGCCATTTTCTTTGGATATTGAAGGCTACAGATCAAGGATTCGGCATAAGGGTATTCTCCAACGATGATTGATTCCATTAAGCACCGATTTGGACGGATTTAGTCCGGGTCAATTTTTGGCAGATTCCAAAGGGGTACCATCACAGATTTGAGGCGATTTATCTGAAATGCCATTTTCTTTCGATTCTGAAGGCTACAGATCACGGAATCAGACCGAGGCTATTCTCCACCGATAATGAAGTCTATTGATCCTATTCTCCACGGAGGATAAGTTCGTTAAGTATCTATTTAGGCCAATTTATTTCCGGATGGCATTTTCGTAATTTCTTAGGCGACGAAAGGCCATTTTCTTTGGATATTGAAGGCTACATATCACGGATTCGGCCTGAGGCTATTCTCCAACGATGATTGAGTCCATTAAGCACCGATTTGAGCGGATTTATTCTGGGTCAATTTTTGGCAGATTCCAAAGGGGTACCATCACATATTTCGGGAGATTTATTCGAAATGCCATTTTCTTTCGATTTTGGAGGCTACAGATCATGGAATCAGGTCGAGGATATTCTCCACCGATAATGAAGTCTATTGATCCTATTCTCCACGGATGATAAGTCCATTAATCATCGATTTGGGCCAATTTATTTTCGGATGGCATTTTCTTAATTTCTTGGGCGACGAAAGGCTATTTTCTTTGGATATTGAAGGCTACAGATCACGGATTCGGCCTGAAGCTATTCTTCAACGATGATTGAGTCCATTAAGCACAGATTTGAGAGGATTTATTCCGGGTCAATTTTTGGCAGATTCCAAAGGGATACCATCACAGATTTCGGGCGATTTATCCGAAATGCCAATTTCTTTCAATTATGGAGGTTACAGATCACAGAATCAGGCCGAGGCTATTCTCCTCCGATAATGAAGTCCATTGATGATAAGTCCATTAAGCACCGATATGGGCCAATTAATTTTCGGATGACATTTTCCTAACTTTTTGGGCAACGAATGACCATTTTCTTTATATATTAAAGGCTACTAATCACAGATTTGGCCTGAGGCTATTCTCCAACGATGATTGAGTCCATTAAGCACCGATTTGGGCCGATTTATTCCGGGTCAATATTTGGCAGATTCCAAAGAGGTACCATCACAGATTTCGGGGCGATTTATCCGAAATGCCATTTCCTGCGATTCTGGAGGCTACAGATCACAGAATCAGGCCGAGGCTATTTTCCACCGATAATGAAGTCCATTGATTCGATTCTCCACTGATGATAAGTCCATTAAGCACTGATATGGGCCAATTTATCTTCTGATGGCATTTTCGTAATATTTTGGGCGACGAAAGGCCATTTTATTTGGATATTTCAGGCTATAGTTCACGGATTCGACCTGAGGCTATTCTCCAACGATGAATGAGTTCACTAAGCACTGATTTGGGCGGATTTATTCTGAGTCAATTTTTGGCCGATTACAAAGGGGTATCATCACAGATTTCGGGCGATTTATCTAAAATGCCATTTTCTTTCGATTCTGGAGGCTACAGATCACGGAATCAGGCCGAAGCTATTATTCATCGATAATGAAGTCTATTGATCCTATTCTACACGGATGAGAACTCCATTAAGCACCGATTTAGGCCAATTTATTTTCTAATGGCATTTTCTTAAATTTTTGGGCGACGAAAGGCCATTTTCTTTGGATATTGAAGGCTACAGATCACAGATTCGGCCTGAGGCTATTCTCCAACGATGATTGATTTCATTAAACAACGATTTGGTCGGATTTATACCGGGTCAACTTTTGGCAGAATCCAAACGGGTACTATCACAAATTTCGAGCGATTTATCAGAAATCCCATTTTCTTTCGATTCTGGAGGCTACAGATCACGGAATCAGGCCGAGCCTATTCTCCACCGATAATGAAGTCTATTTATCATATTCTCCACGGATAATAAATCCATTAAGAACCAATATCTGCCAATTTATTTTCGGATGGCATTTTCGTAATTTTTTAGACGACGAAAGGCCATTTTCTATGGATATTGAAAGCTACAGATCACGGATTCAGCCTGAGGCTATTCTCTAACGATGATTGATTTCATTAAACACCGATTTGGGCGTATTTATACCGGGTCAATTTTTGGCAGAATCCAAAGGGGTACCATCACAAATTTCGAGCGATTTATCTGAAATCCCATTTTCTTTCGATTCTGGAGGCTACAGATCACGGAATCAGGCCGAGGCTATTCTCCACAGATAATGAAGTCTATTGATCCTATTCTCCACGGATGATAAGTCCATTATGCACCGATTTGGACATATTTATTTTCGGATGGCATTTTCATAATTTTTTGGGCGAGAAAGGTCATTTTCTTTGGATATTGAATGCTATAGATCTCGGATTCGGCCTGAGGCTATTCTCCAACGATGATTGAGTCTATTAAGCATCGATTTGGGCGGATTTATTCATGGTCAATTTTTGGCAGATTCCAAATGGGTACCATCACAGATTTCGGGCGATTTATCCGAAATGCCATTTTCTTTTAATACTGGGGGCTACAGATCACTGAATCATGCCGAGGCTATTCTCCACCGATAATGAAGTCTATTGATCCTATTCTCCACGGATGAGAGGTCCATTAAGCACTGATTTGGGCCAATATATTTTTCGGATGGCATTTTCGTAATATGATTTTGATTTTTCGGTTTATTATCCATTTTACAGTTTACAATCGTTAAGTTACAAAATGATTTTACACTGATCGAGAATCTGAAACCATTAAACTTGTTATTGGCTTGGTTTGAATTTGGAGCACTTCTACTATGCTATATAGTATTGGTGCTTTAATGTACAACTTAAAGTTGTACCATAACATTAAATGTATAAGTTTAGGCTGTACCATAAAGCAATTTGTACTATTATGTTATGGTACAACTTTATAACTTGAAGTTGTACCATCAGATAAAGGTACAAGTTCAAGATGTACCATAAAAGAATTTGTACAAAAAGTATAGGTACAATATGAAGTTGTACCATAACGTAAATGTACAATTTTAAATTGTACCATAAAGGCAAAACCCTATAGCACCAATACTATATAGCATTGTAAAATTTCTCTTGAATTTGAACATAAAATCGAAATGGAATCTACACCCTGGAGGCCGGAGGGTAGAGTTTATGTATAATAGTATTTTAGTAGTGATGGGTGTTTCCAGATCCTCGTACCAAACCAATTCTTGTATTACATTAAACCTCCAAACAACATCAAAATGACGAATACATCATGAGAACTCTTCATTATTGTTCGAATTATGGCCAACAAGAAGATCGAGAAAGTGATGAATTTCTACGTGCAAGGATCGATGGACAATCCATATGATCGTGATCAACACAAACAATGACAGTGATGGCCTTTAGATGTTTGCTTGCATAGCGCACCGTCACACTCCTCGATGCAAAACTCGTAGCAGTTCCCACCAGGAGCGTCGTTCTTCCCAGGAATGCACTCTCCCAAGTCGTAATACTCCCTGCAACATCTCGACTCGATCACGTGATCGTTAGGACGTGTCCCAACAAATCGAGTGCCTGCAGCAGCTTCGCTGCTAGCTAGCGTAGCCACTAGTAGCATTGCTACCAGGCATCCTACTTTGACTCCTCCAATAGCCATGGCGATTACTACTTGATTTCCTGGAACTAATTTTCTGTCTAGTTAATTTCGATCTGGGATTTGATTTGTTTTCCTCATTGAGAGACCAAACAAAGGGGATTTATAGGGTTCCAAATTATAATGAAGAAATGGGAAGAGTAATCTTCCATTTTAATGCAGTGTTATATGTGGAAAATTTTGATGGGATTAATTTGAAAAACGTATCATGAAATAGAATTAGGAAATATATTACAAATGATTACACAGATTTTAGAACATTAACGGTAATTTTAATTTTAGCAGGATACTAATATTCGGGCGTTGATCGTAGGCTCCCTAATTAATGATTCAATGAACGTGCATTATATTCTGTATCATATATATTTTTCCTTTATAAAATTTTGTCAAGAATGCATGCATGTATTTTATGGTGGGGAAGCCTAAATCTTAAAATGTGTAAAATACAATGTTTTAATCTCTCCTTAGCTTTACAAACTATTTTCTTCTATTTTTAGGCTCATTCGAAATTGTTTATGGTAAATGTCTAGTAAAATGGGTGAATATTATGGTCAAGTTCATCGAAAAAACTTGAATCACACCAAGAGAGATGTTGATTCCTTATTAAGACAAAATTCCCCTCATTCATAAAAAAGCATAAAAAAAAAGAGATGAAGACTAAATTCATAAGCATGCAAGGTTGTCAAAACGGTTTATCTCGTTGATTCGGTCGAGAAAGTGAGTTGAGTGTTAATACTCCGAACGTTTTAGCTCATTTTAGTCCGAATATATTAAAAAGTCATTAAATTGTTCATATTTATAAATTATGTAAAACTTCATCTAACATATGGGTTATAACATATAACATTACATCATAATCACAGTTCGTACTTCGGTAGTTAGATCCAATTCATATAATGAAAATTCGAACACACTCATATAAAATCAATATTCAAATGTTCAATTTGAATTCCAAAAGAGAGGATTAGGCGAAGGAAAACCTGAAAAAGAAGCGCATTTCACAAATCAAAAGAAAAAAACGACATTATGTGACCTCTAATCCATTTATTGCTTCATGGAAACTTCCATCCGTAACGAAACAAGAAAGCCTTGACATGACAGAAAGTTTTTATTTTATTTTTTGAAATGTCATTTTTGAAATGTTGTTATTGGTTTTCCGTAATCATCCACCCGTGAAATCTGCCTTCTCTGATCTCCTTCTCTTTTCGCCCGCTCTCCCTCTCTATCATCTCCTCCCTTCTTACTCCTTTGATTGCTTCTCTATCTTTTGGTCTTCGCGCCTTCGTTCGATGTGCTTGTTCAATGTGCCACTTTGAATCTAATTCGGAGCTCAACCAGATAGTCAAACGTATGATTTTGTCAAATTTGAATGGTTTAATTTTCAACGAGTTTGACCAAATTCGAATTTCTTAAGAAATTGGGTTTCTGACGTCTAGTTAAGAGTTTGGTTCAGTTGAACCTGATTCGATCTTTCGGGTCGATATTGAGTTGACAACCATAGAGTCACATCAACTCACATTTCACGTGACAATTTTTTTTTATCAGTTTGGAGGACACATCAAACCAATATATTTAATTTACAAGAAAATATATATAAACGATAACGAAGTGAACATCTCATTATCCGATGTAAAATAAGTTATCATTTTGTTTGAAAGTGAAATATTATATTAAGATATTCTAACAACCATTTAGAAAATTACCCTACATCACATCTCTTAGCCTCAGCCAAGAGTAATTAATAGGGACACGTCCTTTAACAATCTGCATAATATTATTCAAACTAGCCATGCCCATGTGTAATGGGTGTTTTCATCGTCACCATGGAAAGTTACATATAAAAATGACATGAGCAACCTAAGTAATGGCGCCACGTACGTATATGTTTTTGTATATTAAGTTAAAGCATTTTAATTAGTAGCCTGTTGATCAACTACTCCATTATTGATCCTGAGAATTAAAATAATTAGGAGTATATTCGGTTAGCGGTACACTGATAAACTAATCAATAATGGATGATTAGAGGTAATTCATTAATCGATTATAAGTTACACTTATCGATAGATTGAAATAGTTTTCGGTGTAACCGATAATCGAATAGTCGGTTAATGATTAACCGACAACTAATATATATATATATATATTTCTAATCTCTCCGCGAAATGGTCATGTCTCCTTCAAGCGAATTTCGAATAAACTACCTCCTCCCAGCCCGACCCTCTTTTAATTTTCCAATTTGCTCCGAGTGTGAACCCTAAAATTGAAAGAGGTAAATAGTATTCATCGATTTCTTGAGTTAAATGTAGGCATCAAAATTGAATTGGAAAAGTTTGGATGACTTATACTAAAGCAAAGGTAGCAAAGATCGATCCCCATTTTTTTCCATCAATGACTTCCCTCTCCTAGTTTGCTTTTATCACTCTTCTACCTTCCTCTATCCGGTTTTTTCTCTCGGCCCCAATAGGAACAACAAGTCAAACCAAATCAGCGATAAAAATATATAATAATGAAAAAAGAACACAAAAATATATAATAATAAAAAAGAACACATATATATATGTAGGTAAAAATCTACAAAATCCAAATATGAAGAAAAGGGAGACCTTGTGTTGATTCAGTTACCAATCAATTAGTTTGGTCTAACCTTGTCGAATCAATTACTAAATGGTTAGTCGCTTACCCAATATCCGAAAAAGGGTTATTGTTACAACCGAACCGACTAACCGCCGGCACTAAAAATAATAATTAATCCGAACACATGATAATCACCAGATGGAAAAATGCTCCCAAACCAATGGGAAACATCGTTCAAACAAAAACAAAAACAAAATAGTGGAAAGAAAGACCTCGTACTCATGAGCTTATATAATATAGACTTTGTATGGTGTGTGTTTTGATAAGATCCTCGTACCAATGAGCTTCATTACAATGGAACCCCTCCACCAAAACATGATCTCTTGCTCTTCCTTCTTCGACACCCCCTTCCTCCTCGCACTCGCAACCATACTCGTAGTCACCCTATTTATCCTAAAGCACAAGCTATCCAAAACCGCCGTCTTAAACCTGCCGCCGGGGCCACGGAAGCTTCCCATCATAGGAAACATCCACCATATGGCCGGCGACTTACCTCACCGTCGACTCAGCCACTTGGCCCGTAAATATGGTCCCGACGTGATGAGCCTACAGCTCGGGGAGCTCTCTCACATCGTAATCTCAACCCCTGAAGCCGCCAAACTGGTGATGAAAACCCACGACCTAGCTTTCGCTTCCAGGCCTTACCTCCTGGCCGCGGACATACTCTACCACGGTCGCAAGGACATAGCTTTCGCACCCTATGGAGATCACTGGCGTCAGATGCGCAAGATCTGCACCCTCGAGCTCTTCAGCGCGAAACGAGTTCAGTCTTTTCGTCACATCAGGGAAGAAGAGGTGTCCAATCTCGTGGCTTCTCTTACTCGTTCTGCAGCTGCGGGAATGCCTGTGGATCTCACTAGGATGGTTTCTACGGTGACGAGTGCCATAACTTCCAGGGCAGCGTTCGGTAAAGCGCAAGAACTCACCGATGCTTTTATGATCGTCGTCGATAATGCTTCGGATGTTCTTGGAGGTTTCAGAATCTCTGATCTCTATCCTTCCTTCAAATTGCTGCCTGTCCTCACTGGGTTCAAAGCTAAGCTAGAGAAGATGCGCGAGGCATCGGATTCGGTGCTGGATCAAATCATCGATGAACATAAAGCTAGAAGAAGGGCGGCAGTTATTAAGGATGGTGATGATGATGGAAAGAAAGAGGATCTTGTTGACGTCCTTCTCAATCTTCAAGAGAACCAGCTGGATCTTGGAGCTCCTCCCATCACAATGGAGGTCGTTAAAGCAATAACTTTGGTGAGTACATATGGTGGTACGATGATATATGATGTAACTATGCTAACAAATTTGGTATTAGCATGCAACCCTAATCTCTGACGTATTCAAAATACCCTTCTTTTTTATTAATTTTTCTGATTATTTTTGTATATGATACTCACAATATGTGTTAACTTTATTAGGAATTGTTTCTAGCTGGCATTGAAACATCAACTACGACAATAGGGTGGACCATGTCGGAAATAATAAATGATTCGAGAATTCTACAAATGGTACAACAGGAGGTCAGGCAGGTATTTGGTTCCGATGACGAAAAGCATTTTGACGAAGCAAGCCTCGATCAATTGAATTATCTGGATATGGTAATTGCCGAGAGTTTAAGATTACACCCACCGGCTCCTCTGCTTGTTCCGAGAGAAAATGTGGATCAAAAGGTGAAACTCATATCATATGATGTCCCTATCAACAACAACGTCATCGTGAACGTCTGGGCGATCAATCGAGATCCTCGTTACTGGAAAGAGGCAGAGAGATTCTTCCCGGAAAGATTTATGAGCTGCTCGATTGATTATAAGGGAACTGATTTTCATTTCATTCCATTTGGTGCTGGAAGAAGGATGTGTCCGGGAGTTTCTTTTGGAATGGTTATTGTGAAATTTATCCTTGCAAATTTGCTTCTCCATTTCGACTGGACGCTTCCTGCTGGACAGAAAAACATTGATATGACTGAATGCTTTGGAGTGACGCTCAGGAGACAACATGCTCTCCATCTAATTCCAGTTTCATATGGTCACGTTCTTTTTGAATGAAGAGGTTGTAATAAAGATGCTAGTATTATATTTGTGCTTTTCTTGTGTTTCAATATGTAAAATTTCATTATGTCCTACAATATTTTTCTACCAAATAAACATATGTAATTTGTGTGATTCTTCTGTTAAAAAAAAACTGATACGTACTTTAAAATTGGGCCTCTATACATAAGACTCTATATGACACAAAATGCTAACAACTCACAAATGTGATCTTCTATAATGACCTGCACTCTGAAGTAAAATAACATTGTTTTATATCTAGGTTTAATAATATTGACACTTTAACATAAACACAACCTTTGATTCATGTGCTTCTCATTCCATAATTTACACTATTATATTTTGAAATTTTTTAGAGGAGTTTGGTGGAGTACAGCTGGTTCAGGTTCAACCATGGTCACATTAACTCTCATTTCATGTGATTAAGTTTTTATTGATTTGGAGGGCACATCACACCAATATATTTAATTTAAGCGAAAAAATATGTGAATAATGATGAAATGGACATCTCACTAACCGATGTAAATATAGGTTATCATTTTGTTTGAAAGTGAAACATTATATTAAGAAACCCTAGAACCGTTTATCTGGTGGTATCAGCCAAGAGTAATTAATAAAGAATTTTCCTTTTGACAATTTGCTACCTAAATTTTGATATATTTTATGATTTAATATCTAAAGTTAATTGTTATGCATAGAAGTCTTAAAAAATATTGATGAAAAATTACATTTCAGTACTTAAAATTTTCATCTCTCATTATACACCTAAGATTTTTAAAGTTTACAAATAGATCCGAATATATAAGGTTGATGGTCTGCTTTATGAGGTATGGTATGTTTTACGACTTGTGGTCTCCATTACGGTGGTTGCATGACTCTGTTAAGTAGTATTATTTCATAGCGCAAATTAATTATCATGTGATCTATTCATTCCCTATAGTACGATGAATTTCTTCACCAAGCAAGGCAAATTAGCCCTCAGATACTCTCGATCGACAAAGTACTTGAAGAAGGATTTCTTTTTTCGGTCAACTCACTCGGAGAAATATGATTGCTTGAAGCGAACCTCGAGTCGAAGGTAATCTTGAAACGGATATATGTGTATTCAGTATTCTTCATTGTCTCATGGCCAAATGAAGATGAAGGCTGTTGGAGCTAAACTTTGAGCCATGGAGAATAATTAAGAAAGGTCGAGGAAGAGGAAACTTATCAGCCAACCGCCAAAGTTTCATCTCTGATCGGCGCCACCTAACCCTAGATGTTGTTAATAAATCCTGCTCAACTACTCCATTGATCTTGAGCATTAATTTAAAAGAATGAATCCCTACACGCCACATGGAGAGATGCTCCTCCAACCAATGGGAAACATTCGTCGGAACAAATTAAAAAAATATTGTAGAAAGACCTCGTACTAATGAGCTTATATATTATAAGAGTGATGGTTGTTTTTTATCAGATCCTCCTACCATGGAACGCGTCAAGATTGTATTGGGAAGATCACTTGACTAATAGTGACAGAAAAGTGGTAAAGAGGGAGCGTCTTAATTTTTTCTTCTTATTAATTGCGCTCATCACACTTCTCCTTCCTCTATTCACTTTTTTCTCTCACTTCCAACAAGAACAAAAAGCCAAACTCAAATCAATGATAAAAATATATAAAAAAAACACACATATATATGCAAATTCGAAAAAAAAGATTGAGTTCTTTTGTTGGTTTGATCATCTTGCACAAATCTTACCTAATCATTTGCAATGATTAATTAGTTGCGGTTAACGGACATAAAAATCGATAATAATCTATACATATGATTACGGTTATATATCCGGCTCACATAAAATGATGCGATTAACCATAAATAATAATTGCTTCACGATTAATCAATAAATGAATAAATAATAATCACAATTACGACCGGACCGGACCGAACCCATTCATAGCCCTAAAAACAATTCATCCCCCCAGCACATGCATTGAGCACCACATGGAGAGATGCTCCCCGGCAAATGGGAAATTAACATGGTCCAAACAAAAACAAATCAGTAAACGAAAAGACCTCGTACCAATGAGCTTTATATAATACACTACTGGTTGGTGCTTTTATCAAATCCTCGTACCAATGAGCTTCATTACCATGGAATATCTCCGCCAAAAGATGATTTCTTGCTCTCCCTCGTTCTTCGTTATCCCCTTCCTCCTCACATTTGCAACCATTCTTATAGCCACCTTATTCATCCTAAAGCGGAAACTATCCAAACCCGCCGTTTCAAACCTGCCGCCGGGGCCATGGAAGCTTCCCATCATCGGAAACATCCACCAGATGGCCGGCGACCAACCCCACCGCCGACTTAGGGATCTGGCCGGCAAACATGGCCCCGACGTGATGAGCCTTCGGCTCGGGGAGCTCCCTTACATCGTAATCTCAACTCCTGAAGCCGCCAAGCTGGTGATGAAAACCCACGACGTAGCTTTCGCTTCGAGGCCTTATCTCCTGGCCGCGGATATACTCTTCTATGGTCGCAAGGACATAGCTTTTGCTCCCTATGGGGATCACTGGCGTGAGATGCGCAAGATCTGCACCCTCGAGCTCTTCAGCGCGAAACGAGTTCAGTCTTTCCGCCACATCAGGGAAGAAGAGGTGTCCAATCTCGTGGCCTCTCTTACCCGTTTTGCAGCTGCGGGAAAGCCTGTGGATCTCGCTAGGATGGTTTCTACTACAACGAGTGCCATAACTTCCAGGGCGGCGTTCGGTAAAGTGCAAGAACTAACCGAAGCTTTTATGACCGTTGTCGATAATATTTCGGATGTTTTTGGAGGTTTTAGAGTATCGGATCTCTATCCTTCACTCAAGTTGCTGCCTGTTCTCACCGGGTTCAAAGCTAAGCTAGAGAAAATGCGCAAGGAATCGGATACGGTGCTAGATCAAATCATCAGTGAGCATAAATCCAGAAGAAGAAGAAGAAGAAGAGATGATCGTGGTCACCATGGACAGAAAGAGGATCTTGTTGATGTCCTTCTGAATCTTCAAGAAAACCAGCTGGATTTTGGAGCTCCTCCCATCACAATGGAGGTCGTAAAAGCTATCACTTTGGTGAGTACATATGGTGATATATGATGATGATGTTACTATTGTTGTTTCTTTGGTGGCGAAAAATTGAACAAAATGGTTTAATTAGGTGTATTAGGAAACCGGCGCTTTTGATTGATTTCAGAGGTTCATATGGTAAGATTATTTGAATTTATTTGTGTGACATCGTCGATAGCACTCAGATCCAAATTAAAAGGTTTTAACATATATATTATATAGTGGGTTAACGAAACAAACCACTAAGTTCCAATAAAACAAGTTACTGGAAAAAGGATTTGTATGAATTTTATATGTTATTTCTTTTCTTTTATGTGTGTACCCTCAAACGAAATCCTACTTGGGGAATTTCAGTTTGTAAAGGATGAACATATAAGCACTTATGTTAAACCATTGTGTGTATTGGGGGTTGTTACAAGGATTCGAAATCAAGACCTATAAGTCAAAGACTCTAGTACCATGTTAACAAATAAATCACTTTTTCTAGGAAAGAATTCGTCTGAATTTTATATTTATTCCTTTTCCTTTTACATAGTGTCTAGAATTCGATTCAATATGACTCTCTCAAATTTAGTTCTTGGTTACAATCTTTTTTTTTTTTTTTTTGGTTATATGGTTAAAATACTTGATGGCTTTAGCAATTTTAGTTTGGTCAAATGGAGTTTGAGATGCAACTTAAAATGGGCCAGCTCAGTATACAAAATACCCTTCTTTTTATTAATTTTCTTATTATTTTTGTATATGATACTCACAATATGTATTGACTTTATTAGGAATTGTTTCTAGCTGGCATTGAAACATCAACTACAACAATAGGGTGGACCATGTCAGAAATAATAAATGATTCGAGAATTCTACAAATGGTACAACAGGAGGTCAGGCAAGTATTTGGTTCTGATGACAAAAAGCATTTTGACGAAGCAAGCCTTGGTCAGTTGAATTATCTGGATATGGTAATCGCTGAGAGTTTAAGATTACACCCACCAGCTCCTTTGCTTGCTCCAAGAGCAAACATAGATCAAAAGGTGAAACTCGGTTCATATGAGGTCCCTATCAACACCAACGTCATTGTGAACGCCTGGGCAGTTAATCGAGATCCTCGTTACTGGAAAGAGGCAGAGAGATTCTTCCCGGAAAGATTTATGGACTGCTCAATTGATTATAAGGGAACTGATCTTCATTTCATTCCATTTGGTGCTGGAAGAAGGATGTGCCCGGGAGTTTCATTTGGAATGGCTATTGTGAAACTTACTCTAGCAAATTTGCTTCTCCATTTTGACTGGATACTTCCCACTGGACAGAAAAGCATTAATATGACAGAATGCTTTGGAGTGACACTCAGAAGGCAACACGCTCTCCATCTGGTTCCAGTTTCATATGGTCGCGTGTTTTTTCAATGAAGGAGATTGTAACAAAGATACTAAGGGGTCGTTTGGACGTTGCGATTGTTTTGTTGAGATTGTCATTATGCATGTATTGTTTACAATGCATCGTTTTTTTTGTTTTTTTAGCAGAAACAATACATGGATTATTTCTGTGATGTGAGAGAAACTATCGCTCATTTTGAGTGATTGTTATATCTCAACTTTTAGTTGTGATTGTTGAGATAGTTGAGTTGAGATTGTTTTGTCTCAGCTTTTAGCTGGTGCGACATACACAATCACACATACCAAACGTTGTATTCTACAATGCATGAAATTCGACAATACATGTATAATATTATACATGCATTCTCAACAATACATCTATTTAACAATCGCAACTTTCAAACGATCGCTAATATTATAATGCGTGCTTTTCTTCTGTTTCAGAATGTAAAATTTCACCTGCAAAAGCAACTATTATGTATTCGAGCAACGACGAAGAAATCTGTTTGTCAACTATATATTACGGATAAACGACGACTCATGTCAATAGTGTGGGTTGACTCAAAGGGACGAGTTTAACAGAAAGCTGGAAACAGTTTATAAAGAAGTTGAGGTTTTTCCCACCCAACTTTTCACAACATGCTTCTGCCATATTCCAAAACCTACCATGCCCACCGATTAATATTATAGTAAAAACTTCTGCGCATTAGAGCCAACCAGTCCTCTGCCATACGTTGCCGGCCGACACCAACCAGTCCGCTTCAGGTTTCAAAATCTCCGATCTCTATCCTTCCCTCAAGTTGCTTCCTATTAATGTTGTTATATGTTGATATATGATGATTTTACTTACTATTAATGTTGTTTCTTTGGAGTTACCATAGCCATGATATATTGACTTTATTAGGAAATGTTTCTAGCTGGTATTGAGACATCGACAACGGTAATGGAGTGGGTCATGTCGGCAATGATAAGAGATTCGAGAGTGCTACGAAAAGCACAACAAGAGGTCAGGCAAGTATATGGTGATGATGACGGCAAAAACTATTTCGACGAAGCAAGTCTTGATCAATTGAAGTATTTGGACATGATTATTGCCGAGAGTTTAAGGCTGCATCCGCCACTTCCTTTGCTTATTCCAAGAGAAAATAGAGATCAGAACCTGGAACTCAACTCGTATGAGGTTCCGGTGAACAGCAGCGTCCTCGTGAACGCCTGGGCGATAAATCGGGATCCTCGTTACTGGACAGAGGCGGAGAGGTTCTTCCCGGAAAGATTTATGAATTTTCCGATCGATTATACGGGGACCGAGCTCCAGTTCATTCCATTTGGCGCCGGAAGAAGGATGTGTCCTGGAGTTACTTTTGGAATGAAGGTCGTGAAACTAACTCTAGCGAGTTTGATTTTTCATTTGACTTGGAAACTTCTCGCGGGACAAAAAAAGCATTAATATGGCAGAATGTTTTGGAGGGACACTGAGAAGACAATATTCTCTCCGTCTAATTCCAATTCCGTATAGTCACGTGCTTCTTTAGGCTCTCAACAACGCTTGGCGTTGGTCTTGTTCTGTTGCTGTTCTGCTGCTCATTGGATGTTCTTGGAGCCTCGTTATGCTTGCTTTTTGGCTGTGGTTTTCAATCCTTGTGATGTCCAACTTCTTTTACCTTGTACACTTTGTGTTTCCTTTCCTTCTTTGTTAATGCAATTCATCATTATAATAAAGACAAACATGTAAATGTTATGTTTTGTGTTTTTCTTTCTGTTTGAATATGTATAATATCTTTATAATTTTCGTCGGCAAAAAAACATTTGTATTTTACGTGGTTTATTTGGTCAAAAAACTGTTTACGTGCTATCAAAATTAGGCCTCTATATATGTAAAGACCACATGAGACATGACACAAAATGCTATTTAACAACTCACAAATGTGCTCTTCCTTCCATAATCACTTGAACAACACAAGCTAAGTCTCGAATCCCTAATTAATACTTGCCACTTCCACATACTAGCAACTATTAGATCTATCCATTTTCTTTGACCCGCCATTTGATACATAACTTATTCCTCAATCTATCTATTCTTTCTAATCTAAAAAACTACATCTCCGACACTCAAAGTGATCTCTACTCCCTTAGAACTCAATCTTATATTCTTCCTGAATTTCCAAACCACTCCAAATATCCCCTTGAAGAGCGCGTTAGAATAATTTCACGATATCAAACGTGAGATCGATCGGCATCAATAATTGTTGTTCAATAATTATTTCAGTGCACCCCCTCGAAGAGTGTTAGGATAGACAGTTGTAGTGGAAGATACTATGTGACCGTCGATCTCAAGAAATAGTACGTAGCACTCATTGCAATCCTTTTGTCTATATCTAAATTAAAAGGAATCTAAATAATATGAGCGTAGTGCGTTATGCACGAGCTGGCAAACCGTTTCAGCTAGACACCAGCTGTCCTAATGAATTGGCAAACCCTAACAAAGGCACCCCTAACCATATACATCCACCTTGTTTATGCTCATTTTGCAAGTTTTCAGAAGAGAGTCTCTCAGACCCAAAAAGAGTGAGAACGAGTCAACAATGACCTGCGGAGGTGAAAGCAACAATGCAGAGGCAGGACCTTATTATATATGCTTGAATAAAACTTAAATCAATCCCACCAACACGGCAGCTGTTGTTTATAGTTTTAGCAGAGAGTTTAACTTGTCTTCTTTCAGGAAGCAAAAAATTCACAGTAAGTAAGAAAAGTAGAAAACACTAAACTAAGTTATCTATGGCGTAGATCCAGATACCGTACGATTAGATCCCCCTCCATTTTTCTACTGATCAAGTCAGATTTGGCTCATCCACATGAGGTCAATTATATTACTATATCCATGAAAATAATCATAAATAAAAATCATCAAAGTGTTATCACGAGTATCTTTTTATAATCTCATTATACCATAATTATCCAAAGTTTTGATTTTGAAATAGTTCATTATCTCAACTGTAGAGAGAGGGTCATCGATCTCCCGGCCACCGGCGATGACCCTCATCGCCGCCGTGTTGTTTAGTGTTCCCTCTGTGTAAGCATTCAAGCTTTCCATCAATAAAACTAAATTCTTCGTTGAAGCCAACCTTTAGTGGGCATTTTTTATTTCGTGGCCACATTTTCGTCGCTAAAAGTATTTTTTTCCCCCTTGTGTGACCATTGCTTTCTAAAGATTAAAAATAAGAATATTTATAAACTATTCATACGAGGTCCAGGTGAACACCAACGTCATTGTGAACGCTTGGGCGATCAATCGCGATCCTCGTCACTGGATAGACCCCGAGAGATCTTCCGGGAAAGATTTGAGAACAAGTCAATGGATTATAAGGGGGTTGATTTTTAGTTCATTCCATTCGGTGGGGGAAGAAGGATATGCCCCGGAATTTCTTTTGGAATGGCGATCGTGAAACTTACTCTAGCAAATCTGCTTTTCCATTTTGATTGGACGCTTTCCACAAGACATGAGAACATTAATATGACAGAATGCTTTGGAATGACACTCAGAAGACAATATGCTCTCCATCTAATTCCAACTTCGTATGGTCGCGTGCTTTGAATTAAGGAAATTGTAACAAAGATGCTGACTATGTGTTTGTATTTTTTTTTTTTTTTTTTTTTTTTGTGTTTCAACATGTGTAATTTCTTTCATCCTAGTATCCTACAATATTTTTTTTTACCAAAAAACCATACTGTATTTCGTGTGGTTTATTTCATCAAAAAAATTTGTTACATCCTGTAATGAAACAAAAAATGCTAACAACTCACAAATGCTATCTTCTCTAATCACTTGACCAACACATGCATGCATTGGATGCTAGGGCTGTTAGCGGTGCGGTTTCGGTTTTAATCGCACCGCCAAGTCGGTTAGCCGAGGCTGATGAAGAGCAGAATTCAACAACCGCAACCGCAAGCTCCGGCTGTTAGCCGAAAACCGCAACCGCCAGCATCGGTTCGGTGAGGCGGTTAGCTGATAACCGGTAGCAGCTAGCTTTACGGGGAGACTCGTCAGCGACAGCTTAAGGAATGACGACGAGATCTCTGTTTCTGACAAGGACGACGGGCTGACGACGGCATGAGAACGAAACAACGACCGGATGTGAAGAAGAGGTCGACTGGGCGATAACAAAAAGCAACTCGACGGGATGCCAACGGGACGCCGGCGGGAGGAAGAGATGACGACTAGACGAGAAGACGATATCGTCCGGCACGAGGATGGAAGCTGGTTGCAGCAGAAGGCGGAAATCTGGAAGGGAATGGAGGAGGCAGGGATGGAGGAAGTTAGGTCATGGGATTTGGATATGGAATCGACGTATTGGCTTTGCGGTGTGGTCTTGACGGTTTTTGCGGTGCACCGTCGGTTTTACGGTTAGCAACCGAAGACCGCCCGGTTAACTGCTTCCCCCAATTCTCCCAACCGACACCGCTAACCGCAAGTGATAAACGGTTTTCGGTTAGCCGACTAACCAAAATTATCGGTGCGGTTTTACGGTTAGCCGACTAACTGGCAACCGTTTATCACCCCTATTGGATGCTCTCATACAGTCAAACTAATCTGATAGAGACCAGAACCCAATTGGAAATGTAAATTATACTAAATTGCCACAGACACTTTAACTTCTTCTGCTTTTTTTTAATAACTTTCCAGGAGAAAAAAAAAATTGCACAATAAAATACTGTAAAGTAAGTTATATATTGCAGAGATCAAGATACGATTGGATCTCATTGTATTTTCTTACTTAAGTCAAGGCTTGTCTAATTCACGTAGTAGATAGGGTCAATTACATGAATGGTCACGTATATTTGGGGTGACTAACAAACAGTCACCTATCCTATATATTTTTTAAAAGGGAAAGGTAATTATGTTCGTACTAATTCGTTCAAAAATCCTTTTTATTTTTCGGTCCAAATTATCTAAGCGCATTAGCATGCCAAAAATGGTTAGCTCTCATCTTGTGTGACCTTTTTTCGAAATCGACTTAAATGGTACGACATGTTGGTATATATATATGTTGAAAACGGAATAATAAAGGAAGACCGACTAAATGTACCATTATGTTAATCAATGTAAACGTTAAGTATCATTCTGTTAAACCTCAAAAGTAAGGTGACCATTTCTGTAATTGAACCACATCACATATCCATTTGACAATCTGCACAATAGAAGTAAACCAAACGACATGTGTTAGCAGGGGAAAAACAGAGTACTTTCATAATTGCCATGGATTATCTCCGCCAAAAGATGATTTCTTCGTCTTCCTCCTTCGAAACATTCAAAATCCCCTGCCTCTTCACACTTGCATCCATCCTTGTAGTCACCTTCTTCATCATCCGAAAGCAGAGGTCCAAAACCGCCGCTCTAAACCTCCCGCCGGGTCCATGGAGGCTTCCCATCACAGGAAACATCCACCAGATGGTCGGCGACCAGCCTCACCGTCGGCTACGAGATCTCGCCGGCAAATATGGCCCCGACGTGATGAGCCTTCAGCTTGGGGAGCTCTCTTACATCGTAATCTCAACCCCTGAAGCCGCCAAGCTAGTGATGAAAACCCACGACATAGCTTTCGCTTCCAGGCCTTATATCCTGGGCCCAGATACACTCTACTACGGTTGCAAGGAAATCGGTTTCGCGCCCTACGGAGAGCACTGGAGACAGCTGCGCAAGATCTGCACTCTGGAACTCTTCAGCGCCAAACGAGTTCAATCTTTCCGCCACATCAGGGAAGAAGAGGTGTCCAATCTCGTGGCTTCTCTGGCTCGTTCTGCAGATGCAGGGGAGCCTGTGAATCTGACTCAGATGCTGTTTAAGCTATCGAGTACCGTAACTTCCAGGGCCGCATTCGGTGAAGTACAGGAGCTAAACGATGCTTTTCAGATTGTTGTCAATAATATTTCGGATGCTTTCGCAGGTTTCAAAATCTCTGATCTTTATCCTTCCTTCAAATTACTCCCGACCCTCACTGGGTACAGAGCAAAGTTACATCAGCTGCGGAAAGCAACAGATTCGGTATTAGAAGAAATTATCGGTGAACATAGATCGAGAAGAAGTGCGGGAAGGAAAGATGATAGTGAGAAAGAGGATCTTGTCGATGTCCTTCTGAATCTTCAAGGAAAACAGGACCTTGGAATACCCATTACAATGGAAGTCATAAAAGCAGTGACTTTGGTAAGTTAATCTGCTGATTTTACTAGCTTTTTTCTTGTCCTTTGTCTACAATACTAATCCTTCACCAAGGGTGACCGTCGTTTGATATTGATCTTACAATATCAGGAAATATTTTTGGCGGGTATTGAAACATCATCGACAATACTGGAATGGACCATGTCTGAACTTATAAAAAATCCAAGAGTGCTTCAAAAGGCTCAAGAAGAGGTCCGGAAGATGTTAGGCGATGGCAGAAAAATTGTAGACGAAGCAAGCCTTCATCAACTGACGTACTCGGACATGATTATTTCCGAAGTTCTAAGGTTACACCCTCCCATTCCTTTACTTATTCCTAGAGAAAGTAGAGAGAAGGTGGAACTCAATGGATATGATGTCCCAATCAACACCAAGGTCATTGTGAATGCCTGGGCAATCAGTCGGGATCCCCGTCATTGGGTCGAACCGGAGAAATTCTACCCTGAGAGATTCTTGGACTGCTCAACGGATTACAAGGGGAATGATTTCCAGTTCATTCCATTCGGTGCTGGAAGAAGGATATGTCCCGGGATTTCTTTTGGGATGGCGGTCGTTAAACTGACGCTGGCGAATCTGCTCTATCACTTTCACTGGGAACTTCCATCCGAAATGAAACAAGAAGGCATTGATATGGCCGAAAGTTTTGGAACGTCACTGAGAAGGAAGAATGCTCTTCGTTTGATTGTGATCCCAATTGATGCAGTTTGATGGGAAGGAGAACAAATGACAAGATGTATAAATAAGTGAAAGATTCTCGTTATGAGATCTTATGTTCTTTTTTCTTCTTCTTCTTCTTGTTGCTCCTGATTTCTTCACTCCCGTCAAAACTCAAAAGCACTCTAGTACCTAGCAAATTTCCTTATTTTTATAAGAGCCTTTATTCATTGAGATAAGAGTGGTTGAATGGAGAAGAGCCACAGGAAAAAAAAATGTTGAAGAGTGTTAGGGCAGACACCAGTGAACGATATTACGTGATCATCCAACTCATGAAATCGTACTTAGCTATCATTAAACTTCTTTGTCCCTATTTAAAATGAATCTAAATAATATGAGTGTAAGTTATTATAAACTAGTAAACCATATTAAAGGCACCGGGTATCCAAATAAGTTTGTAGAAGATTGAAGCACCTTAACAAATAGTTTGTTATGGATGAATTTTGTTACATAATAAAACCTAGTTGAATCGTGGATGTTGTCCTGCTTAACTACTCGTTGACCTATTGATCATTTGAATAATCCCATTACACGAGAGCATTACCTGCTCCCAAACTAATTTGATAGAGATCCAACAACCACAAACATATTGACAATGTAAATTATACATATTGAAGAGTTTATTTAATAATATTTATAAGAAAAAAAAGATTCATAATAAGAAACGGTAAACTAAGTTTTATATTCTTGAGATCGAGATACGATTAGATCTCCTTCAATTTTGTTATTTTGGGGTCGTTTGATAGTTGCGATTGTGAAATAGATGCATTGTTGTGATTGCATGTATAATATTATATATGTATTGTCGAATTTGATGCATTGTAAAATACAACGTTTGGTACGTGTGATTGTATATGTCACATAAGCTAAAAGCTGAGACAAAACAATCTCAACTCAACGATCTCAACAATCACAACTAAAAGTTGAGAGATAACGGTCACTCATTTTCAGTGATAGTTTTTGTCACATCATTAGAAACAGAACAATCCACGTAATGTTTCTGATAAAAAAAACAAAATAACAATGCATTTTGAACTATAGTAACAATCTCATCAAAAAAATCGCAACTTTCAAGCGACCCCTTAAGTCATTAAGTCATTGTTACTGTCTCATCTCATCACTCTCTGACTAACCACTTCACATCATATGGCAGTAGTATACAGGGGAAACCCTTCGACTATCTGCAGAATATATAACTAACCAAGCGATATGTGTAGGCAGGGGAAAAACAGAGCACTTCCATAGTTACCATGGAATATCTCCCTCAAAAGATGATCTGTTGCTCATCATCCTCCTTCGAAGCATCCAAAATCCAGAACTGCCTATTCACACTTGCAGCCATCCTCGCAGTCACCTTATTCATCGTCCGAAAGCAGAGGTCCAAAACCGCCGCTTTGAACTTGCCGCCGGGCCCATGGAAGCTTCCCATCATAGGAAACATCCACCAGATGGTCGGCGACCAACCCCACCGCCGACTCAGGGATCTGGCCCGCAAATATGGTCCCGATGTGATTAGCCTTCAGCTCGGGGAGCTCTCTCACATCGTGATCTCGACCCCTGAAGCCGCCAAACTGGTGATGAAAACCCACGACTTAGCTTTTGCTTCCCGGCCTTCTCTCCTCGCCCCAGACATAATCTACGATGGTTCCAAGGACATAGCTTTCGCGCCCTATGGAGAGTACTGGAGACAGATGCGCAAGATCTGCACCCTGGAGCTCCTCAGCGCCAAAAGAGTTCAATCTTTCCGCCACATAAGGGAAGAAGAGGTCTCCAATCTCGTGGCCTCTCTGGCTCGTTCTGCAGATGCAGGGCAGCCTGTGGATCTCACTCAGATGCTGTTTAATCTAACGAGAACCATAATTTCAAGGGCTGCGTTTGGGAAAGTACAGGAGCTAAACGATGCTTTCCAAATTGTTCTCGACAACATGTCGGATGTTATTGCAGGTTTCAGAGTCTCTGATTTTTATCCTTCCTTCAAATTCCTCCCTACCATCACTGGCTACAGAGCAAAACTACATAAGATGCATAAAGCAGCGGATTCGATATTTGAGCAAGTTATTGGTGACCACAAATCAAGAAGAAGTGCGGGAAGAAAAGATGATGGCGAAAAAGAGGATCTCGTCGATGTCCTTCTGAATCTGCAAGAAAAACAGGACCTTGGAATACCCATTACAATGGAAATCATAAAAGCAGTGACTTTGGTAAGTACTGATTCTACTAGCTGTTTTTTTCCTCCTTCTTAGTCTTTGTCACTTCTCTTATGTTGATATGACTTGAATCGGATTATCAGCCGCTACGACTGGTAATCGGGGGTCTCGCTGCCCGGTCAGCGAGTGGGGTCCAGGGGCAACGCCCCCCGCCCACGGTGTATGGGCTCAATGTTATTTGGGTTCGGGTTCTGGGCCTGGTCTGTAACCGTTTCCTTTGCCAGATTGGATTAGGTTTAGACCCACATGGAGAAGTACTATAAATACTTCTCATACTCCTCTGTAATCTCCTTGATATAGTGAAACTGGCTCTCTCTCGCCCGTGGACGTAGCTAACACACATCGTGTTAGTGAACCACGTAAATCGTGTGTCTGTGTTTTCGATTCTCGCTTTCGTATTCTTGCTTTGTCGATTCCGGCTATTTCCCGATCCGTAGCAGCGCGTTCATAACATCTTATATAGCTTTGATTTTGCTCTTACTGTTAGGAATTGTTCTTAGCTGGAATTGACACATCGTTGACGACACTAGAATGGACAATGTCGGAGATGATAAAGAATCCAAGAGTGTTTCAAAAGGCACAAGAAGAGGTCAGACAGGTGTTAGGTGAGCGAGGAAAAGATGTTGATGAAACACACCTTCATCAATTGAAGTACTTGGACATGGTTATCTCGGAAGGTTTAAGGTTACACCCTCCAATTCCTTTACTTATTCCCAGGCAAAGTAGAGAGAAGGTGGAGCTCGATGGATATGATGTCCCAATCAACACCAAAGTCATTGTGAATGCTTGGGCGATCAATCGGGATCCCCGTCATTGGGTCGAGCCTGATAAATTTTATCCTGAGAGATTCTTGGATTGCTCAATTGACTACAAGGGAAACGATTTCCAGTTCGTTACATTCGGTGCTGGAAGAAGGGTATGTCCTGGGATTTCATTTGGAATGGCGGTTGTTAAATTGACGCTGGCAAATCTGCTCTATCACTTTCAATGGGAACTTCCATTCGAAATGAAACAAGGCATTGATATGACTGAAAGTTTCGGAACATCACTGAAAAGAATGAATGCTCTTCGTCTGATTCCAATTTCGTATGATGGTAGGGCCTAAATAAAAGGCAAAATGTACAACTGAGAGTGAAAGATTCTCATTACCGGATCTTTTGTTTCCCCCCTTTTTAGCTTGTTGCTTGTGATTTCTTCACTTCTGTCAGAACCACCCCTTGGAGGAGGTTCTGCATCTATCAAAGTATTTTTCTTGTTTTAATTGTACTTACACTTTTTGTCAATTTAACACGACCGTTCACTTAGCGGGACAAAATATTCTTATATCGATTATTTATCGACAACCGTGTATGGCATCGCAATAGTTTATAAGAGAGAAGCTTCATAATGGATCTTATACCACATACTAACACGTTCTCTCAAACGAAAATCACTCATAAGGGCTTGAATTTTGCCATAGTCTGAATACCACGTGATTAACAAATGGGGGTCGTCACAAAATGATCATGTACTGTGACGAAATCAAAATTTTGGTCAGAAAATGGTTTTCCTAACGCGGCGAGTGTGACCAAAGGTTCAACCAAATGCTTTTGGTCGCAACATAGGTTTTACAACCAAATATTGACATTTAGCGAGAATTAGTTTTCGTCACAAAAGGCAATTTCTGTTGCAATGTCTATCTTCTAGCTATTTATGGGGAAACTAGCAATTCTCCTTTTCTATATAGGAATTGTATTCATTGATATTTTGGTAAAAAAAATAAATACACTCGCGTCTACCTTGCCAAATCAAACTCTAGTTAGGTAGAACAAAATCAAAATTCGAATACTACGAGTAATTAATGGATATGATTTTCTTACTGTCCAACACAAATTGACTCAATTATATATAGCAAAACTCAATAAGCGTGTGTTAAGGTGGCATACACTATTTTGAACCCTGACTCGCTTCAAATGTGGCGTATTGCAAAGAAGGTGAAAACAGAGCATACCTCTGTCATGCGACAACAAAAACATATCATATTTCAAGGTTGATATCATACTTTCCCACAGTTGGTAGTTGGAAATACGGAAGAAGGATCCGTCCCATCCCATTCGGTACCCATACAGGTGCTACCTGACCTAGCCCACATTCAGTGTGAACTACGAGTATGAATATTGAGATATCGACTCGTCACATTGCAATCACTACACGTACCCTAGCTGTATTGTTTATATATTTAGTTAAAGCATCTTAACTAGAATCCTGCTCAACCACTCCCTTGATCCTTCCCTTAAAATATATTATCCCAACACATGGAGAGATGCTCCCCAACCAAACGGGGGAAAATGAAAAATAAAGAGTATGGAAAGACCTTGTCCCAATGAGCTTATATAGTATACTAGTGGTGTTTGTTTTTTTTATAGAAATCAAGCCGAGCTCTATCTAAGGATTAGGGATTAGGATCAACTAGGTATTGATCCGGGGATTTGGAAAATGGAAAGAGGATTGGATTTGGGGGTTGATGAAGAGAAGAGGAGGGGAAAGAGGTTCCTGCCGCGGCAGCCAAGGAGAAGGGAAAGGAGGAGGGCTCGGCAGCTAAGAAAGAGAGAGAGGGAGAGAGGGGATTAACAGTAGGTTTAGGTTTAATCTTGCTTAGTGGTCTAATTCCACTTACAAGTGACTTATATAATAGTTGGATAATTCCCTATCTCTACCCGACATATAATTTATTTCCGAATTCCCGAAATAGTCTCAATAATCTGAAATACCAATAATCCGATAAAAATGCTAAACACTAGTTTCTATCATCCCCGCCTTCTTCGAAAACAACCTTGTCCCCAAGGTTGGTCCTCTAGCTCGCTAGGCCTCCTCCTCGCCATCTCTAGTGTCCTCCGCGGCATCCTCCGTTTCGTCCTCCCATCGTCCCACTAGCATCATCAGATCCGGCTTGGGGCACTGGTGAACTTAAACCTTTGTTATTACCATAATGAGATTCATACAAAGATATGATAGAACAAATATTTCCTTGACCTTTGATCATTTCAATAATCCCAATACATAAGCTCTCAAACTAATTTGATGGAGATGGAACAACAACAAACCTATTGGAAATTTAAATTATCCACATTCACGATTTAATAGTGTTTTTTCCAAACAAAACAAAATGGTCCACAATAAGAAACTGTAAACTAAGTTTTATATTGCAGAGATGGAGATACGATTAGATCTCCTTGTATTTTTCTTTTACCCAAGTCATTGTCAGGTTGTGTCTCATACTCTCATTCACCTTGCATAGGGTTAATCACATGAAATGGTCACATATATTTGTACTAACTTGTTTATAAATTTCTGTTTTCCTTCCAAATTAATTAAGCACATGGCCACAAACGGTTGCTAGCTCTCATCTCGTGTGTGAATGGAAATCGACTGATTATTTATTGGGTAATTTGATCATGATGTTATTGACCTAACACGAGTATTGTTTCGTTGTGATTAGATCGAATCCAATTTGATTCAATTCATTTAAGATTATTACCAAAATAAGTCTATCAAGTTCAAATGATGGTACACCCAAAAATCACCCCAATTTATTGTTGGTGTCTTCGCATTATTTATATATATTCAGTGCACTCACTTCATAACCGTCATTTTAAACATGTAATTTATGTCAAAATTATGTCAATCATCACTTATGATGTGATGAACAATAACGCACATGAATTTACACAAAACCCATTAAAGATTTACTTTAATTTGAAGGATTTATAGTTTAGAGATTTAGGGTTAGGGTTTACAATTTGGGGTTTAGGGATAGAAATTAAAATTGAAGGTCTAGGGCTTAGGGTAATCGGCTAATTAGTTGTTGTCATATGTTATATCATATTACACTAATTCTACAAATTAAAATTCAAAATCCGACACTTTAAGTCTAGTTTTTGAGTTGGGTGCATTGAACGCACTCATTTTTGTGAGTGCACCGAAGTAGTCACCATATATATATATATATATATATATATATATATTTCAGTGCAAAGAAAAAAAGCAAAATCTGAATTGGAATGAGATCTCCATTTTCTTTGAGTATGGATATTGATCTAATCTAGATAATAAATAAATAAAAACTACCACATGCACATGATATGGCAGTAGTATACTAATCAAGCAATGTATTAGCAGCATCCACAAAATGAGTTTCATTTCCATGGAATATCTCCGCCAAAAGATGATCCTTTCCTCTTGCTCTTCCTCCTTCAACATCCCCTGCCTCTTCACACTTGCAACCATCCTTGTAATAACCTTATCGATCATCCTAAAGCAGAAGCTATCCAAAACCGCCGCTAATTTAAACCTGCCGCCGGGCCCATGGAAGCTTCCCATCATAGGGAACATCCACCAGATGTCCGGCGACCAACCCCACCGCCGACTCCGTGATCTGGCCCGCAAACACGGTCCCGACGTGATGAGCCTTCAGCTTGGTGAGCTCTCTTACATCGTAATCTCAACCCCTGAAGCCGCCAAGCTCGTGATGAAAACCCACGACATAGCTTTCGCTTCGAGGCCTTATCTCCTGGCCGGAGACATACTCTACTATGGTTGCAAGGACATAGGTTTGGCACCCTATGGTGAGTACTGGAGGCAGATGCGCAAGATCTGCACGCTCGAGCTTCTCAGCGCGAAACGGGTTCAATCTTTCCGTCGAATCAGGGGAGAAGAGGTGTCCAATCTCGTGGCCTCTCTTACTGCAGCTTCAGGGGAGCCTGTGGATCTCACTCTGATGTTATCTACTGCAACGAGTTCCATAACTTCCAGGGCCGCATTCGGTAAAGCACAAGGACTAACCAGTGCTTTTATGACCGTTATCAGTGATATTTCAGATGTCGCTTCAGGTTTCAAAATCTCCGATCTCTATCCTTCCCTCAAGTTGCTGCCTGTCCTCACCGGGTTCAAAGCCAAGCTAGAGAAGATGCGCAGGGCATCAGATTCAGTGCTGGATCAAGTGATTGATGAACATCAATCAAGAAGAAGGGCGGGAAGAAAAGGTGATGGTGAAAAAGAGGATCTGATTGATGTCCTCCTCAATCTTCAAGAGAAACAGGATCTCGGAGTACCCATCACAATGGAAGTCATAAAAGCTGTCACTTTGGTAAGTCCATAGGTTGATTGATATGATGATTCTACAGTTCATTTACTATTGTTCTTTCTTTGGAGCTACCATACTGATATCATTATATTGACTTTATTAGGAAATATTTCTAGCTGGCATTGAGACATCAACAACAACAATAGGATGGGCCATGTCAGAGATGATGAAAGATTCGAAAGTGCTACAAAAGGCACAACAAGAGGTCAGGGAAGTATACGGTGATCATGATGGCGGAAATCATTTCGACGAAGCATACCTTGACCAATTGAAGTACTTGGATATGGTTATTGCCGAGAGTTTAAGATTACATCCACCACTCCCTTTCCTTGTTCCAAGAGAAAACAGAGATCAGAAGGTGGAACTCGATTCGTATGAGGTCCCGGTGAACACCAACGTCATTGTTAACGCCTGGGCGATCAATCGCGATCCTCGTTACTGGACAGAGGCCGAGAGATTCTATCCGGAAAGATTTATGAAATGCTCGGCCGATTATAAGGGGCCCGACTTTCAGTTCATTCCATTTGGTGCCGGAAGAAGGATATGTCCCGGAATTTCTTTTGGAATGGCGGTCGTGAAACTTACTCTAGCAAATCTGCTTTTTCATTTTGATTGGACACTTCCTACCGGGCAGAAAAACATTAATATGACAGAATGCTTTGGAATGACACTCAGAAGACAATACGCTCTCCATCTTATTCCAACTGTGTATTGTACGCATGCTTTGAATTAAGGAAGTTGTAACAAAGATGCTAATTGTGTATTTTGTTATTTTCTTGTGTTTCAATATGTATAATTTTTTTCATCCTAGACTAGTATCCTACCATATTTTCTACCAAAAAAATATATATTGTATTTCGTGTGGTTATTTTGTCAACAATTTGTTATGTCCAGTAAAATTTGGGCCCCTATACGTAAAAGACCCAATGACAATACTATTAATGTGCTATACTTGGAACATCACAAACCCTGAATCCTAAGCTTCTCATTTCACAACTTATACTATTTCATTGAACAATTTCAGACGGGTGAAGTACTTAGAGGCTGCTTCAGGAAAGTATGTCGGTTTAGCGGAAACTATAAAAGGGTTTAATTGATCTTTTTCAGAGATTTAAATAGTCTTTTTGAGCAGACCTTTTATTTGATAGTAATATTGATGAAGCTACTGCGAAGACTGCTAACTTATAAATGGAGAACAACTTAAAAATGGACTTAAATTTTTATTATTACCATAATAAGGTACATACAAAGATATGATGAACAAATATTTCCTTGACCTTTGATCATTTCAATAACCCCAATACATAAGCATTGGAAGCTCTCAAACTAATTTAATAGAGATGGAACAACAACAAACCTATTGGAAATTTTTAATTATACACATTCTCGAATTTTATAATGCTTTTCCAAAAAATCGAAACAAAACAAAATGGTCAATAATAAGGAACTGTATACTAAGTTTTATATTGCATAGATGGAGATATGATTAGATCTCCTTCTATTTTTTTTTTTTTTTTACTCAAGTCATTGTTAGGCTTTGTCTCATTCATCTTGCATAGGGTTAAATCACATGAATGGTCAATAAGAAACAGCCACCCCAGGGTTAATGAGCCAAGCCAGGAGCCGTTTGATGTTCGACTCGATAAAAATTCGTTCGATTAAGAAAATGTTTGACTTGTCTATTAATGAGCCGAGTTTGAGCTAAGTCTTGTTCAGCTTGTGAGCTAGCTCGACTAAGTGACTTGTTGAGCTCTCAACTCGTGAACTCTCTTGTTTCGAGTTCATTAGATGTCTCAACATTGTGATTAGTAGGCCAACTCGACTATCGGCTTATGAGAAAATCGATCTACATCTTATGAGTTGGCTTCTTGATAATTCACAAGTTTATTAAACTGTATGTCTCACATGTTTAAGATTTTGAGTATGTGAGTGAATATATCTCATATATGACATGAGATGAGTTGATCACATGTATCATATATGACATAAAAAAAATATATTAGGGTTTAGTTTATAAATTACCATAGAGTTGAAATCGAGCAAAACTCCTGATCTTGATGACGAGTCAAGTAGGTTTTAATAAATAATATGGCTCGAGCTCGAATCGACTCAACTCGTTTATAAATAAGCCACACTCAACCTCAACTCATTTATTAACGAGCCAAACCTGAATAAGGTAAAGCTCGACTCAACCTCGTTAGTAGCCCTACCTATCCCACCCATATACATTTGAAAAGGAAAGCTAATTATGTTTGTACTAAGTTGAAACTAAATTTTTTTCGTTCCAAATTAATTAAGCTCATGCCAAAAATGGTTAGTGTATGAATGGAAATGGATTGATTCATCCAATAATCTAGATCAAAACTAAAAAAATTAGACACGAATCTGCCATTTATCTAATTGAACCACTCCACGTGATATGGCAGTAGTATACAGGGGAAATCCGTTGACTGTCTGCAGATTATAACTAACCAAACGATGTATTAGCAGCATCGATCCACAAATGAGTTTCATCTCCATGGAATATCTCCGCCAAAAGATGATCTCTTGCTCATTCTCCAGTGAAGCATTCAGTATCCCCTGCCTGTTCACTCTTGCAACCATCCTTGTACTCACCTTATTCATCATCCGAAAACAGAGGTCCAAAACCGCCGCTCTAAACCTGCCGCCGGGGCCATGGAAGCTTCCCATCATAGGAAACATCCACCAGATGGTCGGCGACCAACCCCACCGCCGACTCAGAGATCTGGCCCGCAAATACGGTCCCGATGTGATGCAGCTTCAGCTTGGGGAGCTCTCTCACATCGTGATCTCAACCCCTGAAGCCGCCAAACTGGTGATGAAAACCCACGACCTAGCTTTCGCTTCCAGGCCTTCTCTCCTCGCCCCAAACATACTCTACGATGGCTGCAAGGACATAGCTTTCGCGCCATACGGAGAGTACTGGAGACAGATGCGCAAGATCTGCACTCTGGAGCTCTTCAGCGCCAAACGAGTTCAGTCATTCCGCCACATCAGGGAAGAAGAGGTCTCCAATCTCGTGGCGTCTCTGACTCGTTCTGCAGATGCAGGGGAGCCTGTGGATCTGACTCGGATGCTGTTTAAGCTAACGAGTACCGTTACTGCCAGGGCCGCGTTTGGGAAAGTACAGGAGCTAAACGATGCTTTTCAGATCGTTCTCGACAACATTTCGGATGTCATTGCCGGGTTCAGAGTCTCTGATCTTTATCCTTCCATCAAATTCCTACCTGTGCTCACTGGGTACAGAGCAAAACTGCAAAAGATGCGTAAAGCATCGGATTCGGTGTTGGAGCAAATTATCGGCGAACACAAGTCAAGAAGAAGGGCGGGAAGAAAAGATGATGGCGAAAAAGAGGATCTTGTCGATGTTCTTCTGAATCTTCAAGAAAAACAGGACCTTGGAATACCCATTACAATGGAGGTCATAAAAGCGGTGACTTTGGTAAGTAGATATGCTGATTCTACAAGCTGTCGTTTGTCCTATATGTTTGTCTGCAATATCGAAGGATACATGAAAATGCAAAACGACTATAAATGGAATGCCTTTCTAATTAAGACTTTTCTTATGTAACTTTGATTTTGCTCTTACAATTAGGAATTGTTCCTAGCTGGAATCGAAACATCGTTGACGGTAATAGAATGGACTATGTCAGAGATGATACAGAATTCAAGAGTGTTTCGAAAGGCACAAGAAGAGGTCAGGCAAGTATTAGGTGAGCGAGGAAAAGATGTTGATGAAGCACAGCTTCATCAATTGAAGTACTTGGACATGGTTATCTCGGAAGGTTTAAGGTTACATCCTCCTATTCCTTTACTCATTCCCAGAGAAAATGGTGAGAAGGTGGAGCTCGATGCATATAATGTCCCAATCAACACCAAAGTCATTGTAAATGCATGGGCGATCAATCGAGATCCTCGTCATTGGGCCGAGCCGGAGAAATTCCATCCTGAGAGATTCTTGGACTGCTCGACGGATTACAAGGGGAATGATTTCCAGTTCATTCCGTTCGGTGCTGGAAGAAGGATATGTCCCGGGATTTCTTTTGGGTTGGCGGTTGTCAAACTGACCCTGGCGAATCTACTCTATCACTTTCAGTGGGAACTTCCATCCAAAATGAAACAAGAAGGTATTGATATGACTGAAAGTTTTGGCACGTCACTGAGAAGGAAGAATGCTCTTCGCTTGATTCCAGTTTCGTATGATGGCTTGGCCTAAATGGAGGTTAAAATGTATAACTGAAAGTGAAGATTCTCATTACGAGATCATATGCTTCCCCTTTTCAACTTGTTGCTTGTGATTTCTTCACTCCTATCATAATCATAATTAGCAATTCTCATTTTGTCGTTGAGGCAAAATTCGAAGCGAAAGAATATTAGTGGGTGCGAGAAAAAACCCGATTTCTAATATCACATGTGATAGATGGGTATAGTTTTCCCATTATCCAACACAAATTCGAATCCTATCCTATCCTATGAGTCCCCAATCTCCACTACTCTAGTTACCTTGCAATTCTGGTAATCCTTGCCACCCATTCACCTCTGTCACAACACCGGTACCAAACACTTGGCCACTGCGTTATCTCCACATCGACCAAAGAATGGCAATGAAACTGGCGAAACTGGATTGGTCTACTCTTAGGTTGACTGGGCGCTGGTAATGGACAAAAAAATGAAAGGATTCTAGACAAAAATGGCAAGTCAGGCCCGGTTAGTTACAAAGTAGCTGATTGGCGTATTGCGAAGAAGGCGAAAACAGAGTAGCCCTCTGCCGTGCGACGACAAGAAACAGAGCATGTTTCAAGGTTTGATATCATATCTTCTACTTCCCACAGTTGGTAGTTGGAGATACAAAAGGACGAGCAGAATATTCACAAGACAGTAACTTGAAGCAATAAATTGAAATTTTATTGGATTTACAGCTAAACATCTGCCCACCAATCACAACCCACCTTCATAAATCATAAATTTGGCCCCTAAATCATGAACGGCGCTGCCGGGAATCCGGGGAAAGCGCCGGCGAACTGATTACCGCTTCGCCTGCAAGAAAAGGAACGGCTTTCTGATTAATTTTTGTTATCTGTTCATTTGAGTGGTGACTAGATAGACACTTAAGTAAGCCACGTAATGAGAAATATACAAAAGTCGCCGGTGATGAGAGCGAAAGGTGGGAAGGAAACACGGAAAGAAAGGATAGTTTCACCTGTAATCCTCGCCGTAAAAAGAAGATGAATCTCGTGATCGATTGCTGCCTTTCCTCTTCACAGCCCTCTCCTTCTCTCTCCTCGCTTTCTCCTCTGCCGCCGCCGCCGCTTTGTCCTCCGAAATTGCCGCCAGAGACGGCTTCCACTCTGCTTCGGACCCCGGCCTTGCCCCTGACCCCGTTCTGCTCCTTTTCCTCACTCGGCGGCGGCCCCCACGAGGCGAATTGGAGGAAGAAACAACCGCCGCCATGGCCGCCGTGGTAGACCCAGTAACCAACGCTCTGGTCTCCTCCGACTGAATTCCCCTCCTTCCCATCGTCGAAGAAGAAACCTCTCTCATGCTCGAACTTTCACAGTCGGCGCTCCCACAGCAAGAGATGAAGTCAATTAGAAACCTCATCGAGCCCCGAGCAGAACACAAAAAACGAAGGCAGTTTTAAAGGGGGATAGAATCAGACAGCCATGGGAGAAGAAGAGGAGGAGAATTTCAGGTGGGGAATGTGGTTCATATTAGCAGAAGCTGAGATGTGGTTGCAGAGAAGAGATCGGGGAGAGGCGCCATTTGGAGCAGGGCAGGGCGAAGTGGCGAAAGGGGAAGGACAACGAGATACGGCAAATGACGGACCCGCCAAATTTATTTATTTAAGAGAAAATTATCGTGACGTGGACAAAACGGAATCATTCGACTTGGATTTTCTTTGTTTCCATTTTCCTGTGGGTTTCAACGAAAGGTTGTTTCAGAAGGACGGCAGATTAAGTTGCAAACTATAATAAGAAAACCACCCTCAGATAAATGTTCACAAATTGGCAAGTTCATGCTTTTGAAAGAATTGCGTTCATAAGTATGTAGACACAACAAAATTAGAGAATAAATAGCAGCAGCAGCGTCGACGAAATCCACAATGTAATTTGTCGACTGCAAACTTCATACCGTTCATTGATGAGCCTTCTGCTTCACTGAAGATTAGTGAAGCCTGTGCTAGCAGTACCATGTGCAGCAGGTCCAATGTCACTGCCATACCCAGAGCCTGTGGTACTATCGCCATATGAAGGATTTGCAGCGTCAGAATATGCAGTGCCTTTGTTGTTCTCGTACCCAGGACTCGTGGTGCTGGAGTATCCAGGGCCGCCAAACCCAGAGCTTGTGTTTCCATGTGCATAAGCATTGTTCCCGTACGGAGTGGTCTGACTCCCGTATGAAGAGCCTGCAGCGCTTCCAGACTGGTATGAAGAGCCTGGATTTGCATTGTTCCCAGGACTCGTGGTGTTAGAGTATCCAGGGCCACCAAACCCAGAGCTTGTGTTTCCATGTGCATAAGCATTGTTCCCGTACGGAGTGGTCTGACTCCCGTATGAAGAGCCTGCAGCGCTTCCAGACTGGTATGAAGAGCCTGGATTTGCATTGTTCCCGTAAGAAGTAGTCTGACTCGCATATGAAGAGCCTGGATATGCATTGTTCCCGTACGAAGATCCTGGATTTGCATTGTTCCAGTTAGTAGTCTGACTTCCGTATGAAGAGCCTGCAGTAGCATTGTTCCCAAAAGAAGTAGTGTGACTCCCATATGAAGAGCCTGAATTTGGATTGTTTCCATAAGTAGTCTGACTTCCATATGGAGAACCTGGATTTGCACTGTTGTTCCCATATGCTGAACTAGGATTGCTCCCATAAGCAGTAGGGTTCACGTTACTGCCGTACCCAGCGCTTGCAGCATTATTCCCGTAACCAGGGTTCACAATACTGCCAAGACCATAGCTTCCGCTGTTCGCATTTGTGGAGCCAAAACCACCATAGCCAGGCCCCATGCTACTACTATTAGGCGGTGAAGGAGGTGCTCGTGGTCTTGCATATTCAGCAAATATAACCCATCCATCAAGATACTGCAAAATACAGGCTGATCATTACTACTAATCTTTTGTTCATGTATTTATTTTCAAATTCAAAATCAATTTAAGAGGTTATTTTCCCGTGCAACTCAAAGAAATCATTTCTTGTTTTTGCTTTAAGCTTTACAAATAGTAAAAATTCCGTGCTGAATAATAGTGTCCTTTCTGAGAAGGAAGAAACAAGATAAGGAAAGCTCACCTTCCCGTCCATGCCCTCTATAGCTTTGGCAGCATCCTCCAAGGTAGCATACCTAACAAAGCCAAACCCTTTTGAATGCCCAGATACCCGATCTCCGACAACTTTAGCTGCAAGAGGCAGGCATAACAAAAATTCATAGACCAAATGGATCAACTTCCACCAAATAAACAAAAGAAAGAAAACAGAGAGCGAGACCACATACCATGAACCACTTCACCAAACTTGGAAAAGGCTTCCTTAAGGCCTTCTGTTGTGGTTCGTTTGCTAAGCCCTGAATTGATTTTCATAGAGTTGGTCAGTTAACATGAGAAAGTGGAACGAACACCTCATAGTACAAAATCAGTGTAAAACAAACAAAAAAATTCTGAATCCTTGCTATTACAGCTTAGCGGAAGTTATTTTTTACAACAGCTTAGCGGAAGTTGCATAAACATATCAGTTGCATAAACTCCAGTACAATTTTCAACAACAGCATTTCCAAGAGAATATAGACACGACATATAACATCTTAAGGCCCATCATAATAACATTTGTCGAGCCGGCAATCATGGCAGCCTAGGGTGCAATGATTGGAGACTTCCCTGATGGAAGAATGAAGTCAGCAGAAGAACAACCAGATTGAGTAGGAACAAGATTAAACAGGGAATGTCTTGTAACCTGCTATGCTACAAATTAAGGCATCAAATGAAAATCTTTAATTTACATTAGTAAACATTTTCAAATAACAGTTTCAAAATCAAATTCAACTTGGACTAGTTCTTATTGTGTAAAATGCTACGAAGCATTGCCCCTGGTTACTCAATTTGCAGCGACTCAGAAGTATATTACTACCAAGTATATGCAACTTGTTCAAGCAATCCCTTTTAACTAAATAAAAGGATATGTTTAAAGGTGAACACAGAGCTTGCATATGCTAATAAATTATCTACATACGATACGAGCTTTACAGGGCAACTGCGATGTGTCTAGTACGACCACGGATGTCCAAACATTGACATTGGAAAAGATTGACCAGTCTATAGAGAGCTGACCAACACGGGAGAAATGGATCCACTTCCATTCGCCTGTTCTTGTTCAGACAGAATCAACTACATAATGCAATAGCAAGAACTGAAAAATGGAAAGCACGACAAGCTTCAATTAACCATAATACACATACGAGTACATACCCTGGGCAAAGGATGCAATCACCAATTGGACAAAACAAAAGAACAACAATTCGACCCTATCTCCACAACTTTAAAACCCCCCCGAAAGTATCTGCCTTTCTCTGTTCTTTTGATTATCCCAAGTTCTTCCCAAGAGCAAAGAGGACAAATCATGAACAGATTCAGACAATCAAAAATCCAGAACTGGGATGGGAATCGAAACATGAGAAGGTGAGCAGGGTTACCGGAGACGAAAAGGTTGACGTTGGGATCAGCTTGCTCACGAGCTGAAGGGGCGGCGAGCGTCGAGAAGATGGATGAAGTGGTAGAGGCGGTGCACAGCATCCTCCGTAAGCTGCTGGCACCGGCCGTGAGAGCCGACATCGAGGATCTCAACGCCATGACTTGATTGAGCGATACAGTTCGATTCGATCTCTCTGGAAAAGGGTTTAAGGGTTTAGCTTAGACGGTGAAAACTTTTAAACCCCTTTCATAGCAATGAGCCATCGACCAAGTAGGGCAGACTGGCGATGCGACATGCGAGCCTCCTTCACTTGTGAAATTACAAGACTATCCTCGTTCTCTTGGTTTCATGGTTTCAAAAAACCGGTTTATACCGTAAAGACAATTTAGCAAGTGTAATGGTTTGACGGTAATATAATCGGTTTGTGTCGATTTGTGTCGGTTTCAAATTATATATAGAAATGTAAAAAACCATCGATATCAAATGAAATTAATCATATATAAAAACATATTAGAAGACAATTTACTTACAATTCATACATACGACATTTTAAATAAAATAACAAATACTAATATTTAAATACAACATTTAACATTGATATCTAAATATTTATACTTGAACTCAACAAATAACATCAACATTTAAATTCATAAAATAAATAATAAATTAATTTTCTATGAATTAAATTCACTAAAACATCATCATTTTGCTTACAAGTAGTAAATTGACTATACCGATGGTATTCACGCCAGTTTCATGACCGACACCAATTGAACTAGGTTCAACCGGCCTCATTCCACCGACATAACAACTATGATTGGTTCCCTTCATTCACTCCTTGAACCAAAATAATACGGATTGACAACGATAACCAGTCCGATCGATTAGTTCGACTCAATTTTAATAACTTACTTTTCCCTAATTACAAGTCTTTGATTCAAAGAATTCACCAAAAGGAAATCACCTACCTTCAGTTTGGACAGGCAACAAATATACTGCTAGAAAAACCTGATCTACCCTCCGGGAATACTTAGCCAAAAACCATAGCCATTATTAAGTCCAAACCAAGAACATAACAACTCAATCGACTCCACAGTCCACACATTTTCGACATAACCCTAGCATAGACATAGTATGTACAAAAAGACTTGACATAAACTAGAACGCCCCTCTCTTCGTTTCTACTTGTGTATCAAAAGCAACAGAATGTGCAGGGTCGGCAAATTGAGAGAACCACTCTAGACACGTCTCAGCACCACCATCATTATAGCCATTACAGCCAAACCCAAGAAAGACGCTCCCACCGTGTTCTCCATGAACGTCGATTTCGCATTGCCCTCATCGGATTCACCTGCAGCTGCAGCAGGCGGCACCGCGAACATGTTCTGCAGGAAAGAAGAGACGGTGCCGAACATATCAACCACCGTAACTTTGATGTCATCCAGGTACGCCATAAACCTGGAGCGCGGCTCCTCATGTACATTAGATTCTGCGTCCTCGGAACTGGAATCTGTGACGGATTCTGTGGAAGCCTCGCTCGTGGGGCTTGTAATTGTTTTGTGGGACTGGAGGAACGCGGTGAGTGCATCGTTTCGCATAACCGCATCCCACACGTTTGGGTCCGAGGCAATTGAAACTACAACAGACTGCGTGAAGGACAAGGAACAGAGTATCTGTTAGTAAAGGAGATCATTATCCATGCACAACCAGTAGCGGAATGATTATACTCGCAGCAAAACCCAGCTCAATCAAAACCAACGCATACATTCAACATTAATGATAAAATTCAGTCCACAAAATGGACGATGTTTAGAGGCTCCAAGCTGTTAAAGACTTCAGCAGTCGAAAGAGAACAATGTAAATGCACTCGGATGCTAATGAAATTAAACACCAGAACTACTGATGGATTTAAGAGAATAGTAATCAAACAGAATCAGAAACCGACTTTGAAGACAGCATGAGACTGACGATGGCAGGAGAAACATATATAGACAACCGGAAATTGGAATCACCAGTAAGAAATATGAAATAGTACTAAAATAGTCCAAGCATCAGAACCTGAGCAGCAGGACTTTCATTCAGCAACTTGAATGCCTTGACAGCATACTCCGGAGCAGCTTTTCTCTCGCATGTAAGGCAAGTTTTAGACTCCAGCTCGGAAGTTGTAAGCAAAGGGAGGCCAAGATGGTCACTGAATCCAATTGAGGCAGCTGATCCTCCAAGTGCAGGACTAGATATTCTGCATTTTCATTAAAGATAAAAGCTTTATGACACCATCTACCATAGCCCAACAAAGATCAAAAGCCATAGATTCGCCCCGAACTTGATCTTGTGTGCCAGAGCGAGGACATGTAACACAGATACTGACAATGTTGGAAGCTTCCTATATGCCCACAAAAAGGCACAAATGGCAGATTATCACAGAAGACCATGAACTCTCACAATCAAATTAAGAGCTAAAACAAATTATAGACAATTTATGAACCTCCGGAGCATAACTAAGAGCACCAACGAATTGAATTGAATTGAAACAGCATCAGCACGAAGTAAATGAAGACAGAATTGCGGATGATTACTTCTCCAGAGCGTCCTTCAACTCGGCGGTGGCCTCTTGGGCCTCCTGATAAGTCGGCGGGCCGCCAAAAACGAGCCTGGGCTTCGGCTCCAGAGGCTCCGACATAACCTCTTCCTCGCCGCCGGCGAATTCCCACTCATCGAGCTCCCAAACAGGGCGCTGAACCGCCGCCACACCAGATAACGACGACGTAGAAGACGTTGACGAGATCGCCGCCGAAACGGTGTGAGATGCGCTGCGAACCGAATGTTCAGCCGGAGGCAATCCGGAGACGGCGCCGCGGAATCCACTGTTGACGACGCCGATACCGGCGACCTTGGCCACTGTTCTCATGGCTGCTCCTCCTCCCATGGTGATAAATCGATCGGCAGACGAAAGGGGGGAAATCTCTAGATCGAGAGAGTGATTGAATCGTGAGGGGAGAAGGACTGATTTATTGCGTTGGGGTTGGAATTGGAGAGACGGCGAGAAACTCTTGGGAAATTGGAATCAGGGGAAAATAAAACGAAAAAAGGGGAAACCTCTTGCGATAATCCAGGCAAAAATAAATAAATAAAAAGTACGTAGAAAAATAAATAATAGTGAATTAAAAAAAGAGATATTTTGGGTGGAAAGAAGAAGGGAGTGGTGGGTCGGGCTTCCATATTGTCAGCCCAACCATAAGAGAAGATGCAAGCCCACAAAAAGGAGACGCTGGGTCGAAGGCCGGCCCAATTGGTGCCCGGCCACTTTACTTGTCTTCTAAAAAGAAGGTAAATCTTTTATCCTCTATCGGCTATCCTTTCCTTCCCAAGGATAATTTGCTGATGAAAATACGGCCATGGCGTCTAGGAATGGCAATGGGCACCGGGGCGGGTTTCTTGGTATCTAGATCCGTCCCGTAACAGATCGGGTAATTTATTAAAGGTCGTAGGTCGGGGCAGGTCGACCTAATGAGTATGCAATTTATATGAAAAATATTAGAAATATTCGTTATTTTTATTGTAAGAGCAAGAAAACAAACAATATTATGATAAATGTAGTTAAATTATTAGAGAAATTGAGGTTTTCACTAATTAAAAAGTTTATTATAGCTAAAATATTTTGTAACTAAAGAAAAATCCTGAGTAATTTGACTAAGATTACCTGTAATTTAGGCAAGAACGGGTCGAGAATGGAGAGGGTCGGGGCAGGTCAGGTCGATGAAAGAACCCATGCCCGCCCCGCCCCGCCTATGGGACGGGTCGGACCCGCCCCAAAACATGCCAAACAGGTCAAGTAAAACGGATCAGGTCGAAATTGTCATCTCTAATGGCGTCGGCTTGATCTTGCTCCTGCGACAATAGGATTCGGCTGATCGGATCAGCCATTTCCTTCGCGGATTCAGTCGGCAAAGGTTCTGGTTGACCGATATAGAAGAAAAAGAGAGTAAAATTTGGGGGAGTACAAAGTGGGTTTTGGCTGGCTTGTAAAGTGGCCAAGGATTCCTGCCTGGATTTCTGAATCTAATCCCCATGAAACTACACAGTGCATCAATATCCACAACAGGAAAATTTTATTTTTTTCTCAGAAATTGCAGCACCTGTACTACATTATAATACGAAGAAGAACGTTAAATGTCGGTTACAACAGTTTCACAAGTTCATCTGCTAAAACGAGTTGAGTTGAGTTATGGCCAAATATATGAATCTTTTGTAGGTGTCGAGCATGAATTTTGTCTCGGTTTTCACCATGCTTCTAGCGTTGATCCTTATCTATAGTGTATGGGGAAGAAATGGTACAGAAGCAACAGATAAAAAGAAAGAAAGTTCATTAGTTGTACTACACATGTTAAGCGCGACATTTTCAGTTGCACGATCTTATACAATTGAAATTTATTAATCATTTACTGATTACATTATTTACAAAACACAAATGTACTTGAGAGGAGTATCATTTAATATTTATCCCGTATTATGGGAAACCTTTGGAACTGTCTGATGAAGACCCTTTCCCAAACGATGATATAGGAGGTGATTTCTGATATTATTCAGAGTTTTTAAGGCTAAACTCGAATAAGTGTTGGAGCATACTTTTCACTCTGGAAACCCTTTGTGCTATCATTTTTTTTTTCAATTTTTCCTATGATGAATATAGTGAAACTAAACATTTGACGATATTAACCTAGTCGAATCGTCCTCATTTCTGATATGCTACCATAATTCCAAAACAAGAAGGCCCTTGTTGAAACAGGGAACTGGTTTTGCCTTTTGTACATTGCTAGTTCAAAGATCTCTCTCTGTCCCAACAGATTCAATTACCCCAAAAAAAAACAAAGTACATAAACTAACAGTAAGCCAGAAAAGAAAAAAAAGAGGGTTAAATCATCATTAACCTAACAAGAAACAGAGACAGAGTAAGGCACTAAGGCTCCTGCAACCAACAACATTCCTTCATCCTTCCCCACCACCGCCGACGAGTAAGACCACCATGCACCTCCGGTCATAAACAACAATCATGACAGACCTTTCTCTCCAAAAGAGAACCTACTTTTCTTCCTTCTTCCACTAAACAAAAAAGCAAAAAAAAAAAAAAAAAACAGAGCACCAAATCTAGTTCTTCACATTATTGCTCCACTGCTTGTGGCCAGGAACCCATTTGGGACACTTGGGGCTGAAGTAACTACCCTCCACCCTCGAATTCAGCAGCTCGACGATCGGCTCGAACTTCACGCACCTCGGCGTCTTGTACTGATTAATCGACGCCCCCAAGCTGATCGCGTAATCCATCAGCTTATCGAACGTCCCCTGCTCCACAATCTTGATCTCCAGCGGGCCGATCGACTTGTCCGAAACCCTCCCCTGCCTGTACACGCTGTTCAGCGACTCCTCCACGGTCAGGCAGCAATCCTCGTACACCGACGGCGGAATCGCCGTCGTCCCCTTCACGCTCAGCTCCCAGTACAGAACGTAGTGCCCCGGAATCGTCGTCTTCGTGTCTGCGTAGCTCGTGTATTCCGCCACGCTCCCTCCGAACGCCACCAGGTGCGCGTCGACCGCGTTCTTCACCGCGCCCTGCAGCTCCACCTCGTCGGTCTTGTCCGAATCGATGCTCAGCACCACGTTCTTCCTGCATATGAAGTTGAATTGGGGAGCCCTGTTCTTGAACCCTGCCACCCGCAACACATCCCCCACTCTGTACCTGTACAGTCCTGAAATAAAATTGGAACGATACAGAGAAAATTAGCACTGCACGCGTGAATAACTGACATAATTTAGTGCCGTAGTTCGAAATTAGGAGCATTTTTTTAGTTACCAGCATAAGTGGTGACCACGAGTTCGTACTCGTGCCCGAGCTTGACATCGGCGAGGTCGACGAGCTCCTGTCGCTCCTTCTCGTTGAGCGATTTGGGCATGGAGATGGAATTGGACACCCCATTGTTGTTGTTACGGTGTACGGGGAGGAACTCGAAGTAGGCCATGGTGGGGATTAACGTGTAAGCGACCTCACTGGGTTTACAGAGCGGGTTGAGATTGACACCGAAGTAGCATTCGGAAGAAGCATACATGGTGCAAACCAGCGGCAACCCATTGCTGTAGAAATCCAGAGTGGGAATGTACTGCGACATTGTCCCCGTGACAATCACATCCACATATTTGGTATTGGGCCAGAGCCGGGTTATAATCCCCTGCCACGAATCCTTCCCGCATTCGGATTCAATGAAACCCGCGAGCTCCGGATCTGGTCTTTTCAAGACCTTGGTTAAGACTGCCTCTCTCACGGCCGGGTCGGTTATGACGGTCGGGTCGAGGGTACCCGACCGGATGTCGCGGCAGAGGAGCTGCCAGTGCTTTTCGAGGAACCGGATCGCCCGGATGAAACCCGATGCGAAAACGGCTCCGACCCGGAGGACCTGGGTCCGCTGGCAGAGGCCGCAGAGGAGCTGGGAGTACATGGATTGGTAGGAATCGGGGCAGAGGATGGTCTCGTTCGGGCTCGTGTAGTTGGTGTACGGGTCGAAGGGCCGGTTCTTGAAGTGGGAGCTTTTGTAGTAGCTGGTTAAAACGGGTCGGGCGGGTAACCCGCCGGGGGTTTTGGATTCCGATTTGATGAAGAGGAAGTACATCCCTTTCCCCTTTTCGAGGCCCGGGACGAATTGGGACATCACCGGCATTAATAAGGAGTAGAGGAGCGATCTCCTCTCCATTTCCTCTGCAATCGTCGGCATTAATTTCCTCTCCCCTGCTGAAGTGCCAGAGCTGTAAACAAAACAAAATTGCAATGAATCAGTACTCGATTTTTTCGAAAACAGGGGATGGATTAGCTTGTTGGGTTTTCAGTATTGCTATTGCAAAGACTCAATTTTTTCCCCCCCCCGGAAACAGAGTATGGAAGAGTTTGTTGGGTTTTTCACTTTTCAGTATTGTTTGTTGTAAAGAATCAATCTTTTTGGAAAATGGCTTGTTGGGTTTTCCTACCTGGTGAGGAATTCGGAGATGGGTGAGGAGCAGAGGATTGGGGAGGTGTCGCCATTGGCGATGCGGGTGATGTCAGGGTGGATGTCCTCGTAGGAGATGACGGGGAGGAGTTTCTTGAAGGTGCGGCGGTCGGTGGCGCCGTGGAGGCGGTGGCGGTGGTGGAGGTACTCGACGGCGGAGTTGCGGGAGAGGATTTCGTGGAGGACTTTGGACTGGGCGTCGTCGGGGTGGGAGGTGACGTCCTCGATGAACTGGAGGGTTCGTTTGTTCTTTTCGGCAATGGCGGTGGTGAGGCCATTGGTGGTTTGGGTGCTGGTTGAGTTGTTTTTTGGAGCTTCTGGCATGGCGGCGGAGATGGGTTTGCTTTGTTTTGTGATCTCTGGAAAAATGGTGGGGGTGATGTTTGTGTGAGGGAGGAGAGGAGGAAGGAGAGGGGGAAGGTGTGTGAGTCTCTTTGTGTGGGTGTTAGTTTTTGAGGGATTTCTGTTTGTGTGAAGAGAAAAGGTGGGGGAGAGTGGGTATATATAGAGAGGGAGGAGGGTGGAAGAGGAAGGTGATGGTTTTGGGTTGTGGGATCTCAAGTGTCCCTAAACACACATTCTAAGATTTTCTTTTTGAATAGGGAAAAAAAGGTGGATTATCTTTATAGCATGGTTGAATTTGCAATGCAATTGAGATTTGTGAAATTTTGTAACAACATTCATGATTTCACTCTTTTTCTTCTTCTTTTACAAATGAAATTGGTTATTTGTAGATTTTAATGATGGGTAATGTCTATTTTTTATTCAGATTCTTTTATATTATCCAAACCTATTAAAATGCTATCAATTAGTCAAATCTTTCATAATGCATCAAAATATTAGTCATTTTTACGTTCTCGTTAATAATTTTGTAACTCTTTTCTTAGTTAAAATACTAAGATTTTGGAATGTTGACTTTCATGTGTCTCTTCCAAGTTAGTATCATGTTGTCAAGTCAATATTACTAACAAAATTACTAACTGGAAGTTAACATTTGGTTAATTCTTAGTATTTCAATAGATTTGACTAATGAAAAATAATCTGAAAAAGGTTCGACTAATAAATAATCGTTACTCTTTTAATGTTTTTGGATAATTTCTCAGTAAACGAATGAGACGTTTGGTTATGGGATATTGGGAAAAATGCAACATTTCCAAATGTTAGCTCCCATGTCTTTCTTCACACATATTAATGGTAGATTTGTTTTAATTTTTTCTCAAATTTGTAAACTTTTTCTCATATTTAAGCAAGGTTTTGTGATTTTTGGGGGAAAGTGTGTTTGGTAAGGGTTAGAAAAAGTAAAGTAGATGGGATCTAATATAATTTTTTACTAATGAAAAAAGTTTGTGAAATGGTGAATCGCATGTTTAACAATAACGTAGTGTATGTATTTTTTTAGTGACGTCGTTTGGAAGTTGCGATTGTCATTATGCATGTATTGTTTACAATGCATCGTTTATTTTTTGTTTTTTTAGCAGGAACAATACATGGATTGTTTCTGTGATGTGACAGAAACTATCACTCATTTTGAGTGATCGTTATATCTCAACTTTTAGTTGTGATTGTTGAGATAGTTGAGATTGTTTTGTCTCAGCTTTTAGCTGATGCGACATACACAATCACACATACCAAACGTTGTTTTCTACAATGCATCAAATTCGACAATACATGTATAATATTATACATGCATTCTCAACAATACATCTATTTAACAATCACAACTTCCAAACGACCCCGTAGTGTATGTATTTTGGAAGAAAAAAAAAAGATTGGAAAGGGTGTGACTTTCGAACTAGATTCTTTTTTAAAAGGGAAATTGTCTTTAATGAAATTCTTTTATTTAGATGAGTATTATCTTGACTTAACTTTGAGAAAAATGTGAGAAATAGGTTTTTTAGCATAAATTTTTATTTGGTAATAAGAAAAGTGGAGACAAATACACCTGTATGATAGGCAGAAACAACATGAAACACCATAGCTGACGACAACCTGTGTCCAAGGATATTATGAACGAACAAACATTCATAAATAATGTGTCTGCCTTAACTAACATGTGTCTGAGTGTCTCCTTAGATTTTGATACATATATACTATCTCCTAGCACGTTACTCCACTATCCAAATACAATATCTTCGAGGTGATTTTAACCCCAACAAACACTAGTTAAGGACCAATTTACTTCAGTGATCAATGTTATTATTCACAATTGAGTGATTTGGAAGAAGTGGAAAATGTTGTTACACATTTCCGTACATGAGTAGTAATCATGGTTATTGAAGATTTGAGGTGCTCAAACGAAACTTACATTATGAAAAAGTTTCGAATCAAATTAACAAATAACAATTATACCATGACTCGACATATCCATTTATAGGCAAACATGAACACATGCTTGATTGGAAAATGCAACCGAAATGTCTTCTTCTAATTTACTCGTACACATATATAAAGCCCGATTTTAAGGGATCTACTCTATATCGGTTCTCATTATTGTAATTATAGTATTTTTTTATTCGTTAAAACAATATAATATCATTACCTAAAAAATAAAATTTGGTCCAAAATTTTGTATCGGTGTTTTTTTTTCTCATAGATCACTTATATTTTCAAGGAAACTGATATTCAAAAGTTCACAGAATAGACAACGCCCGCAAACAAAAGTCAAAACTCAACGTGCTCACAACAAACAACGAAAGGGCATATATATAACCACCAAACAAACCGCCCAGTTGCAGTGCGGAGCCACAATGATATTATGAGAGACTATAGTCTCTCTCAACTCTCAAAATCATGTAAAATTTGTAATAGGTATGAGAATATGGCAGTTTGTAGAACTTTAGCCCCCTTCACCAGTTCAGATTCTTTGAGCGTATATTTTTCAGTACTTCCTCGCTAGATTTCTAACTCCACCACTGCTTGGTTGCTACCAGCAAACTGAATTGAAAACAGTTAATACGCCTGAATGAGCTGGGCAATTTCTTCAAGAATCTTTCCCTACCATCCTGGTCTTATGCCTTCCTCACATTGTCATTAACAACCTTCACATCGCTATATTTATGTAGATATTAAAAACAATATAGACGAAATGTTTATTTTATTTTTTTACATACGTACGTCCCGAGAAACTTGTGAGAAAAAAAGTGGAAATCAATAAGAATCCAAGCCTTATATAGATATGTTAGGATCCATGATCGAAGTAGACCGGCCAAGCAGAACAAGTTGCACGAATTGTTGTCTATTGTGACCATCTAAGGCAAATATATATACAAGGAAAAAGAGAAAACAAGATATGCAGAAGTAGTACTTAGGGTTTGGCAAAGCATGAATCAGGCCAGACAAGTCACGTAAGAGAACATAAATACTGTGTTTTTTCTTCTCTCTCGTCTGAAATGAGACAACTTGGGAACAATGTGATAGAGTATATAGAACAAACTGTAATTTTGTTGTATTCAGGGTAGTTATTGTAATTCGTAGTTTGTATAGGTACTAGATAGTAATTTGGTGGATGCTATAAAGGCTGCACAGTGTAATGGAACAACACACCGTTTTATGCAATAATCAGTTTTCCTTCCGCAAACACTAAATCTAGCATGGTATCAGAGCTAAACTAGGGTTTCTTGATTTTTCGTTCGACTTTCTTTTCTCTGCTTTGCGATGGCGATTCCACTTCCTCTTCCTGCTCCTCTTGATCCCAATCATCCTTACTACCTCAATCAGAACGAGAATCCGGCGCTTGTACTTGTGTCGACGCTTCTCCATGGCGGCAATTATCAGTCCTCGGCGAGGTCGATGAGGATGGCGCTCCTCGCGAAGAACAAGGTTGCGTTTGTCAATGGTGAAGTTCCGCGTCCTGGAGATGCCGATCCGTTGCTTCCAGCCTGGGAGCGTGCAAATCTGATGGTCTTGGGCTGGATCTATCGGTCTCTGGAGCCGACGATTGCTCAGTCGATTCTTTGGCTTGATTCTGCGCGAGAAGTGTGGCTCGATCTTCAGGAGCGTTTCGGCCAGGCGAATCTGGTTCGGATTTCAGATCTGCATGAGGAGATCTATGGATTCAAGCAGGGTAATCTTACTGTCACGGAGTATTACACTCGCTTCAAGGTTCTTTGGGACGAGTTCTTTGCTCTTCGTCCGTTGCCTGGCTGCACATGCACTCCTCGTTGCAGATGCGGCGCATTCACAAGGCTGCGTGGCTATGTTGAAGCTGATCAGATCATTCGCTTTCTTCGCGGTCTTCGTCACTCTTTTGGCCCGATCAGATCGCAAATTCTTCAGTTGGATCCGTTGCCGCCGATCAACCGAGTGTTTGCTCAGGTCGTCCAACAAGAATGCGAATCTCGACATGGAGCCTCTCTGGTTCCGTCGGTTCAGCCTCCCATGGCGTTCGCGGGCAACTATGCACCTTCTGCTCAGGGCGGTTTTGCTCATGGTGCTTCTTCCTCTGGTCAGATTCGACGAGGTACTAAGGATGGATCGAAGAGGCCTATCTGCACCTTCTGCGGGCTTGTTGGTCACTCGGTGGACAAGTGCTTCAAGAAGAACGGGTATCCACCTGGCTACAAACCTCGTGGCAAGGCGATCAATGCTGTATGTGCTGGGGAGTCTGCAGAGGCTATCTCTGAGGATGCTGATGACAGTTTTACTCTCTCTCGGGCTCAATATCAGGCAGTCCTGTCGTTGATCCAGCCTCAGCAGCCCACAAATCTGGGTTCCATCAACTTGATGGCGGTCTCTACCAATCTCCCTGCTGGTCATTCCACCTCTCTCTATGAGGATGCAGCTACTGCACAAAATGCTTCTTCTGCCTCTCGAGCTGCCTATGACGAGGTTGCAGGTAAAGTGATTCTTTCTGTAGCTAATTCTATGTCTCTTGAACAAACATGGGTGGTAGATACTGGGGCTACTGACCATGTGGCTTGTTCTTTGTCTATGCTTCAATCCTCCAGTATTGTGCATAATTCTTTTGTGACATTACCTAATGGTTCTAAGGCCAAAGTGACTCACATTGGCACAGTGCATTTGAATGATCATCTCATCATTTCTAATGTACTATTAATTCCATCCTTCACATTTAATTTGCTGTCTGTAAGCAAGTTAACTAAGCAACATAATTGCTCCATGACTTTCATTCATAATGCTTGTTTTATCCAGGAGCTGTCAGCTATGCAGACGATTGGTATAGCTGAACAGGTCTCTAGCCTTTACTATCTCCAACCTGGCAACACTCTGCCTGGTCCTCCTACCCCTCAGTTGCTTTCTGCTTCATATGATACATCTCGTTCTATGTTTGATTTGTGGCATTATCGTTTTGGACATGCTTCTACTCCTAGAATAAAGGGATTACATGCTAATTCTGTACCTATTACTGTTAATGATCATATACATTGTTCTGTTTGTCCCTTGGCAAAACAGAAACGCCTTCCATTTGCTTCTAGTGAGTCTGTTAGTAGTGCTCCGTTTGATTTGATTCATTGTGATGTTTGGGGTCCTTACAAGGAACCAACAATGGATGGTCAGCGTTATTTTTTTGCCATTGTAGATGATCACACTAGAGTTACTTGGGTTTATCTGCTTAAACATAAGTCTGAAGCTAGGG